ACCATTTGTTTAACCTCCAGATTCTGGGATATTAGGTGCCGAACACCAGTTTGTGGAGTAGTACCCCTTCATATTGTACTTTGCGTTTTGTTGTTTTGGTTTGGGTGCTACCCCGTCCATTTTCTTATGGAATTGTAATCTTCAGCGGTAAGTTTTTTTTTCTTATACCATCGGACCACGTGCATTAATGAGTGTCCTGAAGACGTTTGTTCAATATCTGCTTCCTTTTAGTGAGAAGGCATTGTGGAGAACCACCACACAGCTTTGTTTGTAGCTGATATTGCCGGAAGCCACCCCTTCCCCTTGACAAAAAAACCTTGATGCGATAGCTCTCTGTGTACAATTACTTCCGATTAACACCTCGGTGATTTGTGGCTTAACCCGTCTTAAGTCACTGGCGCTCTTAACCGCTAGACAGCTGTTTTGCATTGGCTGACCCTTAGATTTTATTTAGTGTTATATTTATTAGTTAATTAATTAATTTCAAAAAAAGGAAAGAGGAATCACGTATTGTTTATAAAAAAAGGCGTGGCACATCTCGGCATTGTAAATTACATAAAAAGTGTATTTGCAATCAAGTACATACTTTAGCTCTCAAGTACAATGTTAGTAAGCTTGATCTGTGCAACAAATATGGCTAAAACAGGTATGGCATAAACATCTCACACTTCGTTTTGTTACCATATACTCAAAACCTTCGAATGATAATAGCCACAATTCAGATCAAAAATAACCGTCACGGGTGCCTGTTTCTGCGTCATGGTCAAACCGCCCGCCATAGAAGTCAGTAGTGACATTTTAAGTAAATCCGTCACATATATGTTTTCTATCCATAACTAGAATTCAAATGAATAAAGAAGTTCCGGTTTGTATGGTTTTGAACAACTAGCTCTTATTTACACAAGATGTTTCACAGAACTTCATCTTTTCCATTCTATTCAGAGAATTGAAGGGGTGAGTGGATGAAAGAGGTATGTGGCCTTTTTTGAAAAAATGAGTTATTATAGTGGATGAAGTTTATGTGTTGGCTTATTTTTTGCGCCGACACCAGTCACCTTAGCACCTATATTTACAGAAATAGTAATGCCATTAAGGATGTATGTGAACACTATGAAGCATACTTCTGGTTGATGAAGGGGGTATGTGACTCTTCCATTCATTAGAATATAGTTTCAGCTGTATAACATACCTCTTTCATGCATTCTAACAAAACATGATGGCTTGAGGTTATGTGGATTTATTGTGCGGTGCTTTGTGCTGCCATGAACACATTTTTTGAAAAACTTCATGAGCTAAGTTATTAGCGAATTTAGCTTTAAAGCTAGATACTCATGTTCATATAGAGAAGATTGCTGACAATTCAACTGAAAAAAAATGAAGATCATGGTAATTCTAGCCTAAAACCAGAATCTCCAGAATTATTAATGGATAGTGAAAACAGCAAGTTCCACGCACAGGGTATGTAGTTCTTTGCACATTTTGGCATTTAATGTATACACACACTATAATATAGAATAGTACTTCATATATTAGCCTTTTAGCTGTAAGAGTTTTGCTTGGACTGAGTAGGTTCAGGTTAGCCTCCAAGGATTATTCATTCGAATAACTTATTTGAACCGAACTCTTTACATTGTAGACATAGTATGTTGAACCCTCCAATTAAGGGCATGATTTTTTTCAGCTTTGAAGCCGCATGAAGTGTTTATGGACTACTCACAGAGCCCTCAAGCTTCTACGTCAAATCAAAATCAAAAGTATCAGCTAGTTGAATGAATGATATAAATACAATGCCTACAAAGACTCACCCAAGGGACTTATACGAAATTATTATGTAAGTGATATTCACCAAAGAATAATAGTATAAAATCACTGAAACCCAATCTAATGAGTCTAAATGTCAATACCAAGTAAAATTGTTGTAATTTGAACAATTGAATTTGGAAACTGTCCCTGAGTTATTACGATGATTCTGAGATATCATTCTTACTGCAGAACACCACCGTTACGCCAAGTATGCCAACATGCATGTATTTTTTCAGATGATGGGGAGGAATGTGACCTAGATGAAAATACCTATAGGGACCTTTTTGGCGATTCTTCCGATGACGAATACCAGCCTAATGGAAAAGATTCAACCCACTGTGGTGGAGAAAAGAGAAAAAGTAGAAAAAAAAGTTAAAAAACAAAATAAACATCTTCAACTGACAGAAGATAAGACTGCAATTTCTGAACTGAGATATAAGAACAATGGCATGGAAGACAATACTTCCATACGTCACGCTGACCATGTAGCTCTGGGTGACAAAAATGGAGGACAGACTGCATGTGCGGTTGAGGTTAAAAGAAAATCCTTTCCATTGAAACCAAAGGCATCCAGAAAAAGACAGAGGCACCCTGATACCTGGAAGAAACACAAGGCAGCCACTTGCAGCGAAAAAGGGCAGGCATACATTAATTAAAAATGTGCAACCTGACCTGCAAAAACAATAGAAGGCATGTCCTCACAATTGCCGACTACGATGTTCTGATGCATTCACTGTAGAAGAACGAGGAGAAATATTGAAATCTTTCTATGCATTGGATGTAAATGCTAAAAACTGTTTACTGTTCAACAGTATAACACACAGGCAAACAAAAAGGATGAGATCTGGAGCAGTGAATCACAAAGCAGCCTCATATAAATATTTCGTGACATTCAATGGCAAGCAAACTCCTGTATGCAAACGAGCTTTTGTATCTTTATTCCAAATTAGCAACAAAAAGGTTGACTTGATACAAGCAAAAATGAAGACAGGCCTGGCTGCCCCTCCACCAGACAGAAGAGGAAAGCATAGCAGTAGACCCAACAAAACACCTGCAGATGTAGATCACATTATTCAGCACATATCTAGTCTCCCTGCAGAAGAATCACACTATTCGAGAAACTGTAACATTCACCAAGAAGTACTTATCTCCTCTGTTGTCAGTTCCCATCATGCACAAACTTTATGTTGATAAATGCAATGCTAGAAATGTCAGTGATCGATGTAAGGTCAAAGAATGCACCTATCGCTTTCACTTCAACAACGAATTCAATTTATCGTTTGGCTACCCAAAAAGTGACATGCGTAGCACGAGTGATAAGGGCGATTCAAATGAAGAACACGTAGAAAATTACAAAGCAGCTTTTGAGGCTCAGAGAGTTGACAGGGAGCAGGCTAGAAGCTCAAACAATACTGTATACATCACTCTAGATTTGCAACAAACAATGCCTTTGCCCCGGTTAAGCACTTTCCGGGCATTTTATCTACGCCAAATGTGGTTCTATAACCTGGGTATCCATATTATAGCTAAAAATGTTGACCAAGCAGTTTTTTGCACTTGGACGGAAGATATAGCTTCCAGAGGAAGTAGTGAGATATTCAGTTGTCTTCTCAGAGCTATAGAAGTTGAAAGTTCACTTAAACAGAAAGACCACTTAATCATTTGGACAGATTCTTGGGCTGGGCAGAAAACAAATTTTTAATCATTTGTTTCTACTAATATCTGGTTCAAAAAGGTAATTTTAAGACAATATATCATAAGTTCCCAGAGGTCGGACACTCTTACTTGGATTCTGACCGTGATTTTGGCCGAATAGAAAAGAAATTGAGGAAGCACCAAACTATAAGTATTCCTGAACAATATCGGGATGTTATCGCCACATCTAGCAAGAAAAATTTGGTAATCAACATGGAAAACCATTTTAGAAACACGGAAGACTTGCCACAAAACATGAAACTTGTTAACAGGAAAAAAAATTTTGAAAGAAAAAGTCCCTTTCAGAGATAGGATCAAATGGATGCATGTGAATGAATTTGGATCTTATCTTTACAAGGAGAGTTTTGACTTCTTTACTCCCTTCAAGCAGGTTAACATCCACAAACGTATAATATCCATGGAGACTCTTCCGCAAGAATTTGATATCCCACGGTTTTTCAGGAAGACTGGATCTTTATCTAAATACAAAGTCGATAACTTGAAAGAACAACTCTGCTTTGTGCCGAACGAACACAAGAGTTTTTATCAACAGGTCACAAACGAGCAACCAGAAGACAGTACCTTAAGAACTTGATATCTACTTATACATAAATTTGTTGATACAACGATATACAGGGTGACTTCGAAGTTGAGTCATTTATTTTAACAGTGAGTAGATCTGATCAAAAGAAATGTTTTTTTCCTTTACCATTTTTCTGGTAAAATTAAAGTAACAAAGTTATAGCCCTTTGGAAGTTTGAGTACCGCCCTGTCTCAATAATGATATTATGTTCTCGTGTTTGGCAACAACAGATATAATCCGCCTTATCCGTTCATCGCATCGGAAACAAAAAAGCGAAAGAATTTGGAACGATCTTTTTACAATCATTTTCTTCAGTTGTATACAGTCAGTATCAGTCGGTAGTCGGTAACGCGTAAGTGAATAATCGTGTCTGTTGCGAGGCTCAAATCAAAAATGGCACATGTTTACGAAAATGCTGAACTTGTGGACATGGTTCTTATTTACAGGGAGTCTTTACAAAATGCTGCCGCGGCATCACGGATCTATGCGGATCGGTTTCCCAATCGAGTGCAACCAACCCCTCGTGCCTTTGTTAATGTAGTGCAAAGAGCTCGTGAATCAGGTGACTTAAGACCTCACAGAGGAGATCATGCCGGTGCTCCAAGACCACACGATCAAATAGAACTAGAAGAACAAATTTTAGAATTAGTAAGTGATGATCCAACAGTAAGCACCCGACAAATTTCAACTCAATTGGCGATTAGTCAGTATAAAACTTGGAAAACTCTACGTGAAAATCAGTTCTATCCGTTTCACATACAAAAAGTGCAGGCCTTACAACCGGAAGATCATGAACAAAGGGTTGACTTTTGCAATTGGCTTTTAAATAAACATCAAAATGATGACAATTTTTTAAATCAAATTTTAGTGAGTGATGAAGCCCTCTTTACTAGAAACGGAATTATTAATTCACGTAATTCTCACGTTTGGGCTATTGAAAATCCCCATGAAATAAGGGAAACCAATTTTCAACAGCGATTTGAACCAATCAACCTGTGGGCGGGAATTGTTAATGGAATTTTAGTGGGGCCTTTTGAATTACCAAATCGCTTAACTGGTGAAAATTATTTTGATTTCTTGCAACACAATTTGCCTGGTTTACTGGAAGATGTGCCTTTAAATATTAGACAAAACATGTGGTTTTTACAAGATGGGGCACCACCCCATTATGCAAGAAATGTGCGTGAATTTTTAAATAGACAATTTAATAATCGTTGGATCGGCCGTGGCGGTTTTGTACCTTGGCCGCAAAGGTCTCCGGACTTAAATCCTTTAGACTTTTGTTTGTGGGGTTGGCTAAAAACTCTAGTGTATAAAACACCGGTTAATACACGCGAAGAATTACGTGCTCGAATTGAGGAAATGAGTACAGTGATCAGAAATCAACCAGTGATTTTATTGCGTGCTTGTAAAGAGACATGGCTAAGACGCGCCCAGCTGTGCGTCGAGCAAAACGGAAATCATTTCGAACAGTTTTTGTGACATGCTTTTGGGCGCACAGGTCCGCACTGAAATACTTGTCGTGAGGATACTTTATAAAACAAGGTAACATTTTTTTTTTAATTTTTTTTTTTATTTTTACACACATATTTTGGTTTATCTTCCTTCTACAATCATTATCTGAAAATTAATGACTCAACTTCAAAGTCACCCTGTATATGTAGGCATTGATATTTTTTTGCATCGTTCCATTTCTATGTGTTCATCTGCAAGTCCTCCTTCTGGTCTTACCTCTACACTACACAAGTTTAACTCAACCGAGTGACAGCCAGCCATGCTATCCTTCAATAAGTGAAAAGTCTAGTCAAATGTTGTGGAAGAAGGGGCTAAGTACACATACCTCTTTCCGTGCAATAATATATGTTAAAATATTGCAAATTTTTAATAGAAGAAGGCGGTATGTACAGAAATGTTTTTTGTATATTTGTTTTCCGTATACATTGTCACTTTTTTACAATACAAAAACTGTTCTCCCCATAACAACAGTTTTATATACTCAGTACTTGAATAAACTAATTTACATAAAAGGAACAGCAAAAATACTTTCAGGCCTAATATCTCGAAATCAACTTTTTGTTACATACCCCCTTCATTCACTCATCCCTTCAATTATGTGAATAATCATAACAGTCACATTTTCGCGTTTCCATTTTTGTCAGTCTGTGACAACTACTTAAACAAATCTTCACATTAAGAAATCCAATTAAACTAATTCGTGATTCCTGAAAACTAGGTCAGAAAAATGCTAAATCTATCAGAGATAAAGTTGTTGCTGTGTCTTTTGTAAATTTTAACCAGTATGACAGAAAATGTCGTCGGATTTTCAGTTCGTGAAGGGTGGAATTGCTCTTTTGACGTGTTGTACTATCTTGCAAAATGAAGTACCTATATCAACTATCAATATAGTGAAATTGGAATGAGCATACGTAAGAGTACCGCTATGATAAAAAATGACGGGAGTCAACTTTTTTCCAAAAGGTCTACCTTAGTCATGCCAATTAAGTGTTTCTACTATCACTATCTCTGTCTCTATCTCTGTCCCTCATCTGTTCAGCTCTGGCACGCTTCTGATTTTCCTGTTTTATAAACAAACTCAGTCTGTCAAGCAAGAACTGCTTGTCATGCCCTTCCAGCACCAGTTGGTTTTTCAACACAACCACCATATGCCTGTTAGCCGAATTTATAGCAGAATAGTAATACAGCAGTAATACCAAAACGATGAAGAATGGAATCACAAAGCCAGGAGTACTGAGATAAAACACACACTTCTGAATCCACTCCGGCCAACTCATGAAGAGGTCTACCATTAGTGACCATACAGTTTTTTCACCACTAAATGGTCCACAAGATTTGGATGGCATCAGTTCATATATGGAGTATGCTATAGGCAAGAAAGCGAAAAGGTACGAGACCAAAAGAACTACCATAAACATTGAATGAGATCTAGATGCGCGATAGATCATAGGGCTTGGTTTGCAATTTATCACGCAATTGAACTTCTTGATGTAGAAGAGAAAGAAAAACATAACAGCAGCAAGAAAAGACAGCAGCGGCGCGTAGAACATTCCGAACCAACACAGCGTCTGAGTGTAAACAACATCCAGAGCGTGCTTTGAGAGATCAAACGTTTGTTCACCAATAAACTCAAAGAACTTATTGTTTAAATGCTTGGCTAAGAGAGATCGGACAAAATTCACTATAAACGTCAAAATGACGTGCATACCAAAATCGAAGACAAGTAACTTAAAGATCTGTTGACCTACAAATGTTTCCCAGCATTCAGGCGAATCTTTGCAGGGTGTACAGGTGTAATCATTAGGATCATGACACGTTATTCTAGCCAACAATGAGGCATACAAGACAACTAAAGAAGCTAATCTTAAAAATACAGTCCGTATCAGTGTAAAACGAATTTCAACGATAGGCGTATACTTTTCAAAACTGATCAAGAAACGAAAGGTAAACGGTACGATAATGTTCATAGAAACAATTATCATAGAAGGTAAGAATTCATACAGCAACTGCAACATCTTTTCATTCGTCTCTATTTCCTGTGTTGAGTGTTGTTCAATTTGTTTAGTAGAAAAGTCAAATGTATAATATATCACAATTCCGCAGCCGATCAGTATCACTATTACCAGTATATTTACAACTAACCTACCCAAGAATATCTTGTATTGTTCTTTCCTTGTGCGACCCTGTCTTTCTTCGGTTAACTTTTCCGTTTCTAATGCAGCCTTAATCTCATTATAAATAGCCCTGTGCTTCGTTCTAGCAGCTTTTTCGTTATCGATACAAAAATCCCATCCACCAAACACCAAATTACAATATAAGTAAAACTGCCCTTCTGACTCTACCAGTCTTTCGTTGAATCCCTTTGCCGCAGACCTTAAGATCATCACCATTGAGATAAAATAGCATGCCAGCATCACCAGGATGTAAGCTAAAGGAATGTTATAGTACATTTCTACACTACCTACAGTGTAACTTAAAACTGTGTTTGTGTAAAACCCGTAAAATAAAAGTGTGCGTTCCAAGAAGCCAGTGCCTTGTATGACCTCCAGTACAATATTGTTTTCAGTCTGACTCGAATTGAAGTAAGAATCTGCGCAAATGCAGGCTAAGTCAGAATCTGTGCAATTGAAGCCCTTTTCATAGTTCAAAAGTATGCTGGGCAAGGTAAGATAGAGAAAGATGCAAAAAGATATTCCACAGTTGAGGAAGAAAAGCCATTTGACGAAAAGGAAAAATGCGACAACACCAGTGCCAAAGTTTCCTTCGATATGCCTCAAGGAGCCTTTCCACAGCTCGATTTTACGCAAGGATTCGCGAACCCGTGTTTCCATGTATGACCATAGTTTCCGCCGTTTCCACTTAAAATTTTCATAGCCTTGTAGTCGCAGATTGGGCTCATTCTGAAACAATACGATATTGGTTACCAAATATGGTAGCTTATACATGAGGTTTATCAGTATCGTTTTAAACTATTTAGCCCCGTAAAAAAAGACAAAATTTACCCAAAAATTTGCGAAAACTATGATGGATGGAAATTTGATCTAGGTAACTGAAGTAGTATTTTTTAGCATAACGAATAGTTTCTGATCCTGTGGTAGGCAGGTACTGAAATGTTTTTTAAAAACCGTGTTTTTGATTTTTGTTACGTTCCTGTAAATTCCATGTATAAAAAAACTTAAGAGAGTTTTGTAGCATAGCTTGCTAAATAAGCTACAACTCTATGATATTTGGATATCTACATTCGTTTATGAAATATAGTCGATTTTCTTAGAACTACGTCTATATGCAAATGGACATAGCTGAGTACAAAAAAGCGTTGTGCTTGTTACGTAAAGTTGGCCGTTTGGTATATCCAAATTAATGTTAAGGTCATTTGAAATAAATTTGTCAAGAACTTAACGATTTCTCTCTTAGAATAACATTATTTTCTTTAGAACCTCATTTTTTGACAATTTGGCATCACTAAATCTTATTCAAATGCTATTTACCCCGCGCCGCGATAAATCAAATACTATATCTAAATCATAAAATTCTTGCATTACTGCTATATTTTGATGCTGCATAAATGCTATTTGACGATCGTCTAAATTGCAACATTACCACTTACGGACTACAAAACTTAAATAACCGACAGCTGCTAGCTTCCAAAAATTATAGTTTGGGGAGCCTTATCAAGGGCATCCTTTTTGACTTCAATCCGCCTGTTTTTTGAGTATTTGCTAATTCTTTTTATTTTTACCTGTACCACATATACAATTTGAGTGGGCACAAAAGTTTAAGAAACTATTATCAACTATATTCACAAATTATGACATATAACTGTTCACAATAAAAAAAGGTTTGTGGTTTTTACAAAAATATCATTTTTTATACATGCGTCCCTCGTTTTACGCGGCAGATTTATTCGCGGTTTCGCTTATACGCGTTTGCGCTTTTGACACCAGTGATTTATTTTACGCGGTTTACTTATACGCCCTTGCTCCCCGCCTTTCAGCGGCGCGCGCCTTCTGATGCATCGCGTCACCGCGTGGTTTTAACGTGCAATCGGGCATGACGTGAGTAGTAGGGAATATCCTGGGCAACTTTTAAAAATCATTGAAGAAGAAGGTTTTAAACCTGAGCAGGTTTTTAACGCGGACGAAACTGGCTTGTTTTGGAAAAAGATGCGAAACCGTACATTTTTATCAAAAGAGAAGACCGCACAGGGCTTTAAAGTAGCAAAGGATCGTCTCACACTTTTGCTTTGTTCAAATGCTTCTGGAGATTGTATGATTAAGCCTTTATTAGTGTACAAGTCATTGAATCCCCGTGCTTTAAAAAACAAAGATAAAAATCAATTGCCTGTGTTTTGGCGTGACAATGGTCATGTATGGGTAACGGGAGACATTTTCTTAGACTGGTTGGAGAACTGTTTTATACCAGAGGTTAAACGTTATTTGACGTCAGAAAATCTTGAATTTAAGGTGTTATTACTTATAATGCCCCTGGTCACCCAGCCGCCCGTTTACAGGAAATAAATCCCAATGTTCGAGTAGAATTTCTTCCACCAAACACCACGTCAATCCTACAGCCTCTTGATCAGGGATCATTGCCTTCTACAAAGCTTATTACACGCGACGCACGTTTAAAATTCTGTTAGAAAACTTGGAACGCGACCCTACAGAAACATTAAGCCAATGCTGGAAGGATTACACAATTGCAGATTGCCTACATAATATTAAAGAATCCATTGGTGAACTTAAAAAATCGACATTAAATGGCTGCTGGAAAAACTTATGGCCAGAAATTGTGAAGTCTCATGCGAAGGTGCCTGATATCAGAGACGAAATCAAAGAAATTGCTGATTTAGGAAAGTCATTACCTGGAGAGGGATTCGGTGATATGAATGAGCACGATATAAATCAGCTATTTGAATCGCATAATGTTGAACTCACTGAAAGAGAACTCGTAGAACTGACGGAGAACAATTATGAAGCTCAAGAAAAAGGTGAAGATGATGAAGTAGTCCCGGCACCAAAGGAGTTGACGAAGAAAACGCTTAATAAATGTTTTACCATGGCACACGATCTCACCGAGCTGTTAATCAGGAAAGATCCTACAATGGAAAGAAGTTTAAAAACTAAACGAGAGGTTTTTGCAGCATTGGCACCATACAATGAAGTTGAGAAGAATTTACGCAACGAAGCTAAACAGTCAAAAATTACGTCTTATTTTTCTAAAAATTAATATTTTTGTTAAAAAATTAACGTTTAATGTTCTCATACATAATATGTACAAACATACCTATGTATATTATGTATTTAACAAAAGTTCATGTAATAAAATGTTTTTGTTTCGATATACCCGGTTTCTTTTTACGCGGTGTTTTCAAAGGACGTTACCCCCGCGCAAATCGAGGGACGCCTGTACTTGTCTATGGAATAAATATTTAAATGACACGTGTGAAGAATAACTGTCCAGTACCTTCAATGAAATATACTAACTCTCCATGCTGTTATTATTGAGTTTTTATATTAACTTCTCTCCAAGATATGGTTAGTTAAATAATATCAAGAAATATTTCTTGGAAATAACAACTAAAAAAAAACTTCTAGAAAGTAGATATTTTTGCTCTTCAGTACATTTATTCTACAACAAATGGAAAGTAAATCTTCAAGAGCTTTTCGCTATGATGATTTTGAAAAGATTTATGCTCACTTAACCTCCCTTTGAAATATACTTTTCCACCAGATAAATATTTTGTAGGTAATTTTAAATATTTTGTAGGTAATTTTAGTATAGTCACGTTGAAATTAAGCTTTTTCGTTACATCTTTTGTAATTTTCATTAACTCTGAAGCTTGGTAAATAAAAAACTATTTTATCAATCAGATGAGAGCTCCAAGAAAATTTGTATAATCTCTTGAACGGACATAGATATGAAAATACAGAAGTAAAACTTCTATATGTAATATTTACAGGACCATAACAAAAAAGTCATAAATCGAAAAGTTTTTAAAAAAAATTTCAGTTCCCGCCTATGGTCGGATCCGGAACTTTTCATTTTAAAGAACAGCAGTTCAACAACCTAAATCCAAGTGTTCATCAATTACAGAATTTTTGTTAAGTCAAAGTGTTCATTTACTGGGCTAAATGGAGGAAGTCGAATTTGAACACCCTGTATAACCTACTTTGTTATTACTGTTCTTACCATAATTTTGTTTTTCATCTCCTTCTTTTGAGACATTGGGATGGGAAGTTCCTTGAGTCTCATGACTTCTTCCCAGGCAGACTCCTCATTGGTCTTCATCTCTGACAAGTCGGGTAGCATGGACAACTGCACATCGCCGCCTATGGTGGATGTTCTGCGATGTACGGTAGAATCCCGCCTAGATCTAGACCTAGAGGCAGTGTGGCGCCTGACGGTACTTTTGTTGGAGCGGTAGTCATTTGTGCGCATGCGTATTGTCGCTACAGCTGGAAGAGATAAGAAATTTTTAGGCTACAAATTTAAATCTGGGGCAATCTTGAGGTTAGGTAAATTGAAAATCCATTTATTTTACAATATTGGGTTTTATGCACTTCCTACGCAATGCCGTCATCAGTTCATAAATGATTAAGTTCAGTGCAATTTAATTCCTCTGAGAAAAAATTCAGTTACAAACATGTACAACAGAGGAATTAAACGGATTAAGTCAGTCAAACAGGCCCATGTAATTAGTCCATACACATTCTTTCCCACCCTACCAGTAGTTTATGTCCATCTGGCAAACGTTGGCCCTTTCCACAACTGCGAGGCGTCGCTGCATCGAGTTATTGTTCATTCCGTAAATATGATTTGTGTGCTGCAGTAAAGATAGATTAGTCGGCCGGACCGGTACGATGGGCGGTGAGCTAAGATAGCAGGAGTATGTGGATCAAAAACAACATCCAACCCCCAGATTTCAACCACTACAGAAATGTTTCAGGCCCCCTTAAAACCTCATAAAAACAAAGTTAATTCGTGTTTTTATTTTTTCTTTTTTGGCCTTTTTCTCTGCCGCCACTGAATCGCTTTTCTAAAACTACAACGCTTTTGCGCCCTTGGCATAGTAACATTGTGAAAAAATTTCATTGAAATCGGAGTGGTGCTTCTCAACTTATATGATTAGCAGGCGGACCGACAGACTGATGGAAATGAATGACATTGTTTTTCGTGATGTTCTACATGTCATATAACTTCCAAAAATATATGTCATTTTTGTAAATGTCTTTTAAGTTCCTTACATTGGCATCACTTGCCTTATTGATGGTTACTTGTAGTTATTTCTAAAAGTAAACAGCTGATCAGTAAGTGGCATCATCATGTTAAGTCTGTACTGTTGGCAATAATAAATCTGGTAAGACCATATGCAGAACTATTATACCAAACAATGAAGAAAATGTTTTCATGTGCATAGTTCCTACATAAAAGTGTAGTTATAAATTATAAATCAGTACAAAATGCCACAACAAATTTTGGTCCTCTTTTATATGACTCTCTGTACATATACATCAAGAGTCTGTGCCACTTGAGGTTATGGAGCATTTCGAATGTGATTTAAAGAAAACAGAATTCATATCTTATAGTCTGAATTCTGTGAACTGTGCTTGCAGTAGACCTCTTACATTTCTATACCCACACAAACTCCTGTTTTATATTTTCATACTTCAAAAACTATAAAAATATTTAATTTAAAACAAAAGCAAAGTCAGCAACAAATTAGTCAGCTAGCAGAAATCTTGACCCGCTAGCATTTCCAGGAAAATAATAATACTTAAAAAGTGTTTCATTGGTCTCAGAGACCAACGCGCGGATATAGGAAGGCTAAAGAAACATTCTAGTTTGTACTGAATAAAACAAGCTTTTTGTGAGTGAGTCAATCAAAATCCTCCGCTGCAAGTCACTGGTCTATTTTAGCTCAATGTTCCTAGTTGTTTTGTTGCCCATTTCAAGCTCTGCCTAATAGGGTTTGCCATAGTCTAAAAAATTTAAGAATCTCCTAAAAGATTATTTAATTGAAAATAGCTTTTATAGTGTGGAAGAATATTGTGATATATGCTGTTAAATCTTATTTTTTACTATTTGACTATTTTTTGTTAGATATAGTTTTCTTAAGATTTGAAAATGTATGACAATTCAGGCATGTTTTTTAATTCACTATAAACTATATAGACAAGTTTGGTGTACAACCGGTCACTCAGACGGAAATTTAAGGAAGTAAAATTGGATAATTGGATGGTGGCTCAACCAGTGAATTAAAAAATACCCCTTTCCAATACAATGTTTTTTGTTGAGAGGAAATAAATAAATAGCTGCACTAAGTATGGATATTATAGTATCCTTAAATAGAGGTGACTAATAGCTCCATATGGTAAATTAGATTAAAACATCTGTTTTGTAGTAATTTATTGATGATGATGATGATGATGATGATGATGATCTTTATTTCATAGCAATCTGCTAACAGAGAAAACATTTTTATATAAACTTATAAACTACAATTTTCTATTACATATTTTTTTAAATGCCTTTTGAAGTTAACAAAATTTGTAGTTTTAATTTCTTCTGGAATCCTTTTAAAATCTACAAGGCCCTTATAAAATAAGCTGTTTTGGGCAAAGGAAGATTGTACCCGAGACACATAAAAGTTGGAATTAGATCTAACATTATAACTATGTATATCGCTGACCATTTTTAATTTATTAATAATATGCTCTGGGTACATTCTATTCCTTATTTTGTATATTACCACCATAGTGTTATAAAAGATCTCCTGGCTTACACTTAATAAATTTGTAGATGTCAGCATGTCTTTAATTCTACCGTATCTTCCCCATCCCAAAATACTTCTCAATGCCTGGTTTTGTTTTTTTTGAATAATATCAATATCACCTTTCTTAAACATATACAAGATTGTTGCACAGTAACTGAAATGTGGTAGGATTATCGTCTTATATATAATTAATTTAGCCCAGACACTCAGGTCTTTCCCCATTCTACATAATAAATTCACTTTCTTTGATAGCTTTTTGGTTATATAAATTGCATGTTTTGAATACGTTAAATTTTCATCTATAATTATTCCTAAATACTTACATTCATCAACTTGATCTAGTCTACTACCATTAATTACTATATCTTTGTTACTGTATGTGTTAGTTACATTATGCTTAGATTTCAATATCATACATTTAGTTTTATTTACATTCACACTTAAACTATTATTGTTTAACCATTTATATATATTATTTAAATCTTCATTTAAAAAGATTATTATATCAGCCACTGAATCACCCTTAACAAAAAGCATAGTGTCATCTGCAAAGAGTTGAATTTCACACTTCTTAATTATATTAACAATGTCATTTATGTACAACAAAAACAATTCTGGGCCCAGCACAGTACCCTGTGGAACACCATGTACATTGATCTTAGATTCAGATAATGATTCTAAATATTTGGTTTTCTGAGATCTCATTTCCAAGTATTGTGAACATGGACCTTATATGTTCTGAATCGGTTAAATTGTAACTGAATTAATGCAAATATGTTACTTCCTTTTCAACATTCATTCAACACGGAAAATGCAAACTACTCGTGTAACATACCTGCTCTTGTTTGTTTACTGGGCAGAAGTGTGTGCAAATGCTTGGGGTCTTTTTGCAACACTTCAAATTCAGGATCTAATGGGTAGCTTTCCTGATAGAAATCGGACCCAGCATCTTCCCAACCCTGCGATCGAGTATTCTTCTTTCTGTTTCCACCCCCTGACATCTTGTTTCTCTTTGGTGGATAAACAACTTTGAAAATAGAACAAACACAGTGAATTACGAAGATGGGATTACAATTTAAATTGTCCTTACCGTATCGTTACATTTTATCGTTAATAGATTATCTGATAAGATTAGAATGGAGAAAACTGGATTTTATGTTACCTATAACAATTATTTATGCTGCAGTTATACAGCATTCGGCTAATTTGATCAAATAAACTTATCAATTATCAATCAATGGTCACATCAAAACCCACTCAAAATCGAGGTGACATGGAACAAGAGTGCCTAGGTGATGTGTGACGTATTGTGACAACGAGCAATGAAAATGACATTTTGAGACCTCAAGAGAGTAAACGTGGATAAACCCGTACTTCTGTCCGCCATCATTGTTATTATTGTACAGACGAATTAGGTAAACATTTTTCGAATCTGGCTTTTCACACGAGCTTTGTCTCTGTCGGCATTCGTGTTAACTGGATTTTTGCCTAATCTGTTGTCTCTGTGGAGCATTTAAGTATTCATAGCTAGTGTAAGTTGATCATCCATTTTGAAGTGAGTATGTTCAAACCCCAATATCTGGGATTAACCGCCTTCAGCCTATCCATACCTTGACTATAATTGGTCTTACCCAATCATCATGGTCATATTCCATCAAGTTTACAGTTTAGCCTAGTCATACGGTTGAGTTGCCTAATATGCGTGTTATTCAATAATATGGAATTGGAATGAAAATGGCGGATTAAAGGGTAGTGTATGACATTCGATTTTGGTCATCTTCTTTCCTCGTCTGTCATCTGTATTTGCCTCGTTGTTTTGTGTTTGTTTATTTCTATTTTGTTATTGAACGGTGCCCAAAACTTACGCAACTGGGAGGAAAATTGGTCACAATGAATGCTGTTCAAATAGCATGTCGCCGTGTTTTCGTAAGTTGATGAACTTAAAAGACCACAATATAACAAAACCGGATACTTTTTAGGGTACCTCCTCACAGTCCCCTGTTCAGAGAGTCATTAATTCAAGGGCTTATTCAAATGTAATTGATCCACCTGATGATGGAATCGTTGAAATACCAAAGCCCAAATCTAGAGAAAATGAGCCAATGAAGCAAAGGAAAGCAAGGTATATGTTCCTTGTAAAGATATAGGATTATATATTAATTGAAAGCAAAATAACCAAATGAGAGCATTAATTCCCAAACAGGGCCTATATTAATATTTAGCAGATAATTTGAATATAAGGGCCTTCCAGGATTTCAGTGATTGCTGATTGACAGAAAACCACTCTGCTGGACAAACATTTGTACTCTATTTTAATTCTATAACCTACCATCCCCTTAACTTTTTTTAGTGGTTGAGAAATCTCCATAAAAGTATGTGAACATTTTAGGTTGCTGTATCAATCAAGAAAGCGTGGTATGCTTGAAAATGACTTACTGCTCAGTACATTTGTACATAAACATTTGGATTTGTTCAGTGAGACACAAGTAGAATTGTATGATAGGTAAGATATCTAATTTTTTAAACAGGACATCTAAGATCAACATATGTGATTATGTTATAGTTTTAAGTTAGCTCTGTCATTAAGAATGATTGTATTCTTCAGACAATAATGCATATCTATTTATCATGTAAATGACAATTGTTGCTTCAAGTCTATTAACATTACCTCTCCCTCAATGTCTATGCATGTTTATGTGTCCAAACCTAGAAGCAGTTTCAAGATCCTAATATTTTTACAGCTTGATAAATGGGCCTTCAAATGATTGGGATATTTATTACTGGGCAACAAATATAAAGCCCACACCGAAGCAGTATGACCATGAAGTAATGGACTTACTGAAAATTCACTGCAAAAATTTGAACAAGGAGCTCAGAATCAGACAACCTGATTTGTGAAAAATGCTTATTATTTAATTTATTCTGTATTTTTAGTAGGTTGTATTAAATTGTTGGTGTTTGAACTATCACTTTCATTTTTATACCTCAAAATAAAACATCTTTGTGGTCAGATGAATGTCACATCTACTTCAAAAGTAAATAAGTAACTATAATCAGAAGGGGTTTCAGGAGTAACTTGGTTGGAAACATAATCAAGAATAGTCAACAAGTTATTTTAATTTCAAAACTATAACATAAAATTCTTGCATGGAGGTATATTGCTATATATCATACACATCACTGCAAAAATATATAAAAATTTTTATAAATAAATTACATCAAACATTTCCAATTTCCGATCAGCTTAATGATCTGTTAAAAGTATCTTCAAATAAAATGAGGTTTAAAATAAGATATATTAATCTGCACTAATATAATTATCTGCTGATATACTTTTACTAATTTAAAACAATTATGTATAATTTGCCTCATAAAATCTGCCATTTTGCCTTGTTATCAATAATTTGGAAATTCATTTCTTGTTAAGCTATATGTAAATTATAAATATCCAATTTTCACATACCACAAGTTGGATGTATGCTAAATATAAATACTGTATATCCAGCAATATTCAGGATGACTGAAAGTAACTATAGTTATTGGATAGATTGGATTAAGCCATATTTGATATCTTATATAAAAATAAATAAAAATAAAGCAGAATAAATAAATAGTATGTGCAAAAACCAAATTATTTTAAAAATATAAAATCTTGACGTGTGTATTTTTTCTAACAGTAAAATGGTAAATTATTTCCAAATTAAAGATTATATCTTCACTCCGTTACCACATGTCAACTTAGTCTGGATAATAACTTTGACCTCACTAACTTCTATATGCATAGTTTCAAACATGAACAACAAAATTGATACAACATTTTTTGTCAAAACTATGAGGCTATGATTGCACAGCTGACTCATACAAATATTTTCTAAGAAGCTTACTCTTAGGTTTATCATTGTGCAAACTTAGAAAATCAATGTGTGCATACAACTTTTACAAAATATATGATCCATGATTTTTTATGAAAAAGTTGATGCATTCACTAAATCAATTGATTTCATCCCACATCATGATAAAGAATGAATATTAAAATGATTCTTGGTGGAGGCAAGGTTATTGTCCTGACTAAAGTTATGATTTCCTCATTATACTCGTCTTTTTATAAATATTATTGCAATTCATTTCAGACATGCTCTTGCCTGCATTATAAGGTACCTTCTCAATGATTTTCCAAACCTAAATCCAAGATGCTGAAATATTTACCCATGTTCAAGGTCAAAATCCCAAATTGAAGGTACCCTAATAATGTTAAGAAGGTGCACGCAACGAATTCCAATAACAAGATCTCAGCAAACTGAAGTCTAGCGATAGTATCTGACGCGGGATATTCTAAATGAGAGATTGAGATAATCAAATCGCAAACAGCCTTGAAATATCACTGATACGCCATAGTAAAAATCTAAAAATTGTAAACTGAACTTCAGCAGCAGCAGTTGGTGCAGAGATTATTATTTGATAGTTATTGTACTCTTAGCTGGACCCATGCGAGGTCATGCTACCGTACTTTCGCCCAGGGGGCCACACGGACCCCTCCGAAGAGGCGGGCGTGGGACCTCTGAAGAACGCGTTCATCACGGAATCACGCAGCCGTTCGTTGAACGTCTTGTATTCCATGTCACTGTATTGTTGGCCAAAATTGAAGTCTGCTACTTCTACTAGGAACCTGCAAGGGATATTTTGTTCAAGCAAGTTGATAAAATGCATAAGGGTGTTCCTTAGTAACATGTTAATGCTTATGGAGGCTTGGACCCATTTTAAGAAAAAAAATTCCTGTGAACATATGTCCTAAAGGTCTGTCTTAACCTTAGACATGCAGAGCGGTAATGTTTTCAGAAAAAAATGAATTTTATAATAACTGTGATACTATTGTAGATATCTTTATGAAATTTAGTGCACAACTAGGTGCATTTTCTGATGTACAAACAATTTTATTATTTCTACTAGCAGTATCTGAATGAGCTTTGCATTGAATATTTTTGGAGAAAAATATGATACACCATTACTTTCTCTTTAAATAAAAATTATTTTTGAAGTCTTCATTTCTTCTTTCAGTAAATTTCATCTCATTGATTTTTTTGTGTGATTCATTCGCTTAAAAAAAATAACAATCGTTTTACTTCACAGTCAAATCGCTAAAACTGTGATGGGGTTGATTAGAATTTTCTTTTTCAGATTGCAGATATCTAGAAATATAATTACCAGGCGAGTAGTTGAGACACAATTTTGGTTTGGTTATTATTGCCTTAAAATTGCATTTCATTTTTAATAGGAAAAATAGAATGTTCCAAAAATATGCCTCCACAATACTTATTTTTATTAATTTTTTAACCCCCCAACACAATTTTATTGACTTCTTCCTGAATTTAAAATATTTGAAGATGTCTAGATCTTTCAATAGATCCACCTCGACGGCCTTTGTATGATGTAAACAAACCTACTCAGCGCGGGACGGAAACATTAAACGATCTGCATACATTCGCGAATTATAAGTAGAATCTTGGAGACACTCACTGTAAACTAACATCAAATAGATAAATTCGTTATTGCTATAGAAAGGTGCCAATTTCTGTTTTTCAAATCCGATAAGCTAGGTTAACATACACTCCGCGCGGCGCCTAGTTCCGATACTGCCACCGTACCACAAAACGTCGAATCTGACATAGGATGCAAGGTCGGTGTAACCCACTGGGAGTTTTTCTGAACTTAATATCTCGGTTATTTTAAGGCTTTGCTGTATGTGTTCCTAAGAAAACTTGCTTATTGTTTCCCTACATATAGTGTCTGTAAAGTCCCAACTTTAAGGACACTCCATATAAATGGAATATTTACTCACCTTGATCTATTTTGGAAGTAATAAGCAATTCCAAACACTATCAGTACAACTGCTACTAAGCTAAATGATACTGGCACTACTATTACAGAAAGTTGCGGCTGCTTATTCACTGAAAAGAAAAAAATACTTTTTAAATACGGAAGCATATTGTCAATAGAAATGTAACATCAACATTGTAAAATACTCGTAATTATTAAAATACAACTTTGATGTTCTCCGAAGTGTCGGCACGTTGAAAACTTTGAAAAACGGGGAGGAGTCGATCGTCAGGCCAAGTTAGCTCTCCAGACGAAACTGTTCATCCTATGGTGTGGATCTTTTCTTAATTAGATGTCTTCAACACTCACCTTTATAAATGTTGACAGTAACTGGTGTCACAATCTTGCTGACTTCATTCTTCAAAATGATCAATATAGTATTCTTTGGGTTAGAAAGATACCTCTTGATGGAAAAGCTACATGTATCCAAAGGAATATAACGGGTGCAAGTTTCATTTCCTGTTACGTTATATTCTCCTTTTGTGTATTCAACACAGTATTCTATGTTTTTGGAGCCCTTGCAACTCACTTTTAATGAAAGTAAGTCACCAGGCTGAAGCCAGTTGTTTCCAGAAACATTCACATGAGACAAAGGAGCTGAAATGAAAAAGTTAGTTTAAAACTCTGGCACAGTATGTCAAACACCAGTTTAGCATTGCAAAGAGTCCTGAATAAGTCATAAATCATGGCAGATACAGTTTAAATGTGTTGGTCCACTTTGAAAGTTATCATGGGTTCAAATCTAAAAAGATACTCATCCTGATTTACTGAGGCATGGTCAGAGCTACTTATTCATCTAAACTTTATCAAAATATTTTAAATGAGAAAGTGTGGATGTTTGTTACTCAAAAATATTTTAAATGAGAAAGTGTGGATGTTTGTTACTCAATCACACAAAAATGATTGAACGGTTGTGGATGAAATTTGGTACAGTGATAGATTATAGTCTGGAATAGCACATAGACTATTTTTTATCCCGGAAAATAACCTTGAAATATCCATTTTATTGGCTACAGGTCAAACAGCTTGATGGAATTTGACATGAGGTGTCTGGCGCAGAAGCGCTAAGTCGCTTGTCGAACCGAAGTTGCATCATACATTGACAACAATTTTATTATAAATGCGAATGTGTGTATCTTTGTATGTATGTTCACCAAAACGGATTTTGAATGAACTTTAGCGTACACCTAGAAATAGATTAGATCTAGGAAATGGACATAGACTACTTTTTGTTGTGGAAATAAAATTAGAACGGGTTGAAATAGGGGTGAAAGTTACTATGGGGAAACTATTATTCTTCTTAGAGATACAAATATGAGTTTTGTATATTTGGTTCTTTGACATAATGTAAATGGGCAGTTGGGCACTGAAAAAAAATATTTTTTTTTTGAAATTCTACCCCTATACCTTATTTCACGAGTATTCATCACGGTAGAATGGCAGCGGATTAGCTAGTAATATATCAAATTTCCCCATATCGGCACAGGAGACATAATTCTGACGGATTTTGTACTTGCTAACCGCTCTTTTATTTTGAAAAGTTACCCGAGTATTTGAACATCCTGCTAGGTACCTAAAACTGGCAATATTCCAATGATAAAGTAGACTAGGTCGCGTTCATATTGGCACCGCTTGAGCGTCGTCAAAAACTGCTTCCGACAGTAGATTTTAAATGGAAACGATCATATTGACGAGCGGTCTCTGGGGACGTGGCGCGTTGCAAAGCATCGCACCGCTGGAGCTTCGTTCTTGTGCGTTTTTCAACCAGCATCGCTATAGCGATACGTCGACTTCAATGAATAGAAAGGTATGGAAGAATTAATAATGACGTCCCAGACTGAAAGCATCGATAAAATATAATCAAACGTTTCCACTGACATCCTTAAAAACTGGAAAAAATGTACTGGATCACCGGGAAGTTGATTATAGAGGTGGTGATATTCGCCATAAGTGACTCTCTTTTTATTAAGTTCGTAAACGCGTTGTCTCTTTTTATTTCTTTTTCTAATTAGCCATCGCACCGTGGATTTTCCATAAGTAACAACCGCTTTGTTACCGAACTCATCAGATCTAATTCGAGAAAATAACTGAAATAACGCTGAACCAATATGAACACGACAACGCGCGCGATGATAACGCTCAGGCGGCATCGCTCAACGCTCGTAGCTCGAACGGTGCCAATATGAACGCGACCGTAAACTGAGACTGGATTTTGTGACATGGGAGAAAACGGCTGTTACAATTTTATATTTACCTATTCTAACTAGAGACTAAGGCAGGTAAAATTTGGTTTATCGAACGTGTGAGTTCAAAATTTAAGTTATTTTAACAAAATGTAAGCCCACAAAACCGCGGGTAACAGCTAGAAAATAAATATTTTATGAGATAAAAATCTCGGCAAATTTAGACGTTTTCCCTAGGTATATTCAATTCTGATTAGTAGATGTCAAGTCATAGACCAATCAGAACAAACTGCTTCACAACTAGTTGGTAACAGTTGGATTAGCCGATTATTCCCATTTGATAGATTTTAAATATGCAATATCTACATGCACTTGTTTGTAGAGAAACTCTACATTGTCGAAACACACCTCTCAATCAGTATTAACTCACCTTTTACGTTAATTTTCTTTGAAAAGTATCCAAAACTCTTGACTTCATCTGTGGAAACTTCCGAAGAATTGCAAACAAATGGTATATTGTGAGGAAGTGCTGGACCATTTGGTAAAATGATTATCTTAGGATTTCTGCTCAGTGTGTCCAAATGCACAGAAGTGATGTTTGCAGTGATGTTTGATGGTTGGTCCATGGGGACACTTCTTTTTCTCACGGGATGAACTGAGGATATCGCTGGCTTTACCGTTGTAATTGAAGTCACTGTCAAAAAGGTTCAGATTAGGTAAAAAGATAATATTTCAATCATATTGACTGTCAAAATTCAAACAAACAAAAACATTTCTATGACGTCATGCAACTGTGGAGCAAATTCATCCAGTCTTATGGTGAGGCTCATGTCGTTGTTCTTGATATGTACGCATTCGATGCAAAATTTCATCCTATGGCCTCACAGAGAAGCTTTTCAGATGGGTCGCTGACTTCCTCTCTGGCCACAAGATATCCGCCGTAATTGACGAGTACTCCTCTTCATCCCACACTGTCTTGGCTCCAATATTGTTGCTCTCACAAATCAACGATTTCCCTTCCTGTACCACCAATTCGATCTACTGCTTTGCTGATGCCTGCACTGTACTTGCAGCAATTCAGAGTCACAAGCTGATATCTGCCAGTGAGTTGGAGAAAGGTTATCACTGCTTGGGCACACAGCAATCTGGTACAGTTTAATGATTCCAAAACGCAGTACTGTACCTCGACTAACAAGAAGCATCCTAACGCTATCCGGTATCAATGGCTGGCCGAATTCTACCAAAAATCCGTACATTTCGGCTGGTCCTAGTCCAGTTCACCGAGGACTTGATCTGGCATGAACACATCTCGTCAATAGCGGAAGCTGCTGGCAAAACGCTAGGCTATTTATTTACTGCTAAGAAACACTTTTCTTTACATGTCTTTGTCTCTCTGTACAAGGCCCAGATAAGCTCTAGCCTCGAGTACCGCCTGCAAGACAGACCTGCCTGACTCCGGCTTCTCATCCTAACTGTCTCTAGTAGTTAGCAACCTTAGGTCGGTCAAAACAACAAAGTTTCTTTAAGCTCCTCATAGCCGCCGCGGTGCCCTGGTATTTAGGCTTCTGCCTGCGCGGCTGCTTCGGTATAATAAAAAAAAAACGATAGTAGCTGTTGCAGCATTTCCAGTTGTTCTGTAGAGTTACCAGCGTACTGGTGCGAGAATCTTCAAAGAAGTTCAGGCCAGTAATCCCTTTAGCTGCAGCTGTCGAGTTGCTTCAGATTTAATGTTAATGTTGAAACTTTACCCTCTATCAAATGAGCACTAGAAGGCTAAATTAAGTCGTTCAAGTCATATTTTACATGGAACAAGTGGTTCACAGAAATTTAAAAAAGCAGTGCTCAAATAAAGTTCTTTACAAAAAAGGTGCATTGGAGATTCCCAAGAAATTAGTGCTCTTCCCCATGTTTTGTACAACATGTGTTTGATTTTTAATCATACACATAAAGAAATAATAACAAACTGCAACTGACCTGGTTTTTTTGTGGTGGTACTGTCTATTGTAGGCTTTGTTGTTGGTTTAGGAGTTGTTGTTGTTGCTTTTGTAGTAGTTGTTGGCTTTGTAGTAGTTGTGGAGCTGAAGAAAAAGTGGAATGTATAATCTAATCTTATGACTTCTTGGGTATTTTCTGATTTGTTAGATTTGAAGCATACTCACGTTGTGGTTGTGCTAGGTGCAGGGGTAGTAGTCGGAGGTAATGGAGTGAAGTCAGCCATTACCAAGGCATCCACAGTATGAACTGTATCAGGTTGAGTGAAGTTGAATCTAAACTTAAAATCAGGTGTGATTCCATAATAAGTGCAATCCACAAACCAATATGTCAATACAACTGGGGCCTTGCTGATGTAGTCCATATCAGACTTTTTTAATTCTACTGTTTGAAGCACTGTCTCTGTATTTGACACAAATGCATCTTCTCTAGTGATGTTGCCTTGTTTCAATGACAGATTTCCATTCAGAGTTTCTAAAAATTCAACATAACATGACGTTTTTGGTTTACAAAATAAAACATATAAGTAGACATTACCTGTAAGTGAGAATTGAATTCTTTGTGAACCAATTTCATAGCAGAATAAATTCAAAAGACATTTCTTCACTACTACTTGTGCAATATAATCTCCAGCTGGGTAAATACTGGCATTATATGTGACACTCCAGGTGTCATGAGCATCAGTATGCATATTCTAAAAATATTTGAAGTAACAGTGATAGGTTATTTTCACATTCATATTATCATTTTGATATTCCTTGTGACAATGCCACAACATACAAAATCATGTCATAAAAATTCAAGAAAGCAAAGTGCTACAGAACTTGGCATGTCTCATTAGGAAGCCATGATTACCAGCATCCATAGTCAAGCTAACCTAATGAAATAATAGCCGCTTCCTGATATGGCATATACTGGCGACACAGGTACCAAAATCAATAGTTAGATTGGCTATGGAAGCTGGCAACATTGCCATGGCATTCCTATAAGGAAGGGCTCTCTAAGTTACCAAATTTGATTTGATATAAGACTAACATTACGGGCTGCACGACTGCACTATCCTGTGCCTAGTGTCAATCAGTTGTATAAACATCATAATGCAAGTCCTGTCATGACAATAAACCATTTCATACTTTTTACATCTGAAACCTCAATTTTACACCATAATGGTAATTCTTACATACTAGCAATAAAATGATTATGATCTGAGAAAAAAAAATAGATAAAAGATGTGAAAGTTTAATTATGCCTAAATTCTAGGGGATGGGTAGCTGAGCAGTTAGCCTATCAAGATGCTGATCAGTTGACTCAAAAGCCTACAGGTTTGAATCTCATAGTTACAATTACAGTGGTTCAGTGTAAGATCAACATAAGTACTCCACATCACTGGAGCTGGTTGCTTCAATAATCAGTTAACAGTAGATGACTTGTGGAGCAGTACAGTGTTGATACTAAAGGGTCAGTAAAAATGGTCATAGGTGAACTAATTGCCACAACTCCTACTACAATGGCATGCTTAGGTCTTAAAATATCAACTATATATGTTGCAATTGTATCATTCAGTTGGCCCAGTAACTATAATACCCATTTTGATTTGTGAAAATTGAGGAAGTCTGTAAGAAATTAGATTGAAATTGAACTGTGAGGAAGTTCCATGATATTTGAAAAGTTATGGGGTATGAACAAGGAGTAATTGATGTGCACTGCTCTGGCATATCTGGTGGCAAATTGTAGCGCAGCATGTATACTAGAATATAAGAAACATGCAAGTTGTAGTTTTTTTAGTTTGTAGGAATTATGATCAAATTGGTGCTAAAATTTACCAACAGACTATCCATAAACTCAATCCAGAGGTGAAACAGCTTACTTGAGCTCGGTGATCTGGAATAGCATCATCCTCCCAAATGTACTTGAAAAATTCTGAACTATCTAAATTACTGTTATAGTACACCTCAGCCTGGAAGGTTACAGTGCCCCCTTTGACCACAGGGCTATTGCTTTTCAATCGTACATCGTAGTTATTAGCTGCAATTATTTATACTTTAGCAATTCAATCAAATAAATATGCATGAGGTAGAGGTCACCTAGGCAAATATCCAAAAGTATATAGAATATAAGAAATTTCAAAATCATTGTGCTGGAATCGCCTTAGCAAATTCCTAAAAAACGGGTGAAATACACATCTAAAAAGTGTTTAAAACATGAAAACACAAATAAACAATCACACAGTGATACAAAAATGCATTAAAAACATACAAACGTCATCAAAAATGTCAGTTGTCAATGCGTAAAGTCTCAAATCATAGAACAATAGTCTTTTCAGAAGAGAGAGTTTGAGTTGTAGCACTCCAATGGTTTCTGTAATATCCGGTAAAGTCGCCGGCATGTTTTTTTATCATCTAAACGACGTTTTCATTGGTTGTCGTTGGAAGACATCACATTAACCATATGTACAGATATAATCAAATCCAAGCGAATAACCAGAATTTCTGTGTTATGTACCGCGGTTATAATATGGTTCAAGATGACACACGGGTTGATGACGTCAGTTACACGAATCGCTTGAACGCGTTGGTTTTAACCGCGGTTTTGTTGCAAGTTGTTTATTTTAGAAAAGCGCGTATATAATCTGTGATTATTTCTATTATCACTTAATAATCGGTGCTTTTTCGTCTACAACTGTATATGGAAAGTTTAAACAAGAAACCTTTCATAATATTCATGGGAGAAATGTTTTTTTCAGATTTTTTTTAATGATGGAACCATGGCTTTGTAGCTATGATAACTTTCAATTCTCTAAATTTTTCCTCATGTCAAAGAAAACATTTATTGATTCAGCAGAAATGATGAAAAAAGAAATTAGCAAAACCGTATACAGGTGGATATCATCTAGTGAGTTTATTTGGCCATATTTTAATATTCTTGTGGTATATGGCTACACAGGATACTTTGTTAAGCATAGGAACTACATTTAAAGTGTCCCCAACAACCGTAATGAGTATAACTAATAAGGTGCTCCACTTTATGGTAAAACTGAAGTCAGCCTGTATCATTTTTCTCAAAAATGAAGCTGAAGTACAATAACAATATCCAATACCCGGCAAAATTCTAACTTGTCACATTTCAAATAATAACCAGAAATATAAAACTACTCTTGTAGTTGGGTAAATACCACAATTTTGCGGTGATAACTATGACATATAACAGCTGATTCGTGACGTCACGGATCTTACATAGTCGTGCCATAAGTTCTGTCCCATGATAATCTCATGATAAAAATGAAACAAGATAAGATATATTTATATGAAAGATATTATTTATTCGACAACATTTTTAGAATTCATAATCAAACAGTTTTATTCAAAATGTCCCCCCTTGGCCTTCACACACTGCTTCAATCTCGCGGGCCACTCATCTATCACTGCACGCACAGCTTCCAAAGGAATAGCTGCCGCTGATCGGATCAAATCCGCTTTCAGGGACTCGATATTACGGTGGGCTTTGGAGCAGGCCAACTGCTCTAGCAGGTCCCACAACTTGTAGTCTAAAGGATTGAGGTCCGGACTCCCTGAGGGCCAATCTTCCGCAGCAATGAACTCTGGCACATTGCTTTCCAGCCAGCGCTGCGTACTCTTAGCCTTGTGAGCGGGGGCGGAATCCTGCTGGTAGACCCAGTGTTGGTTGGCAAACAATGTACCACTTAAAGGCTTGACGATAGGATCCAGTATGTCGCTCTGATAGTTTGCCGCTTTTGTTTTCACGCCCTGTTTACAGAAATGGAGCTGAGTGACCCCTTCGTAGGACACCCCCCACCAAACCATGACTGACGCAGGGTGGTGGCCTCTCTCAACTCTCGGAATGATCTCCGAAGCTTCCTGTGAACTCCTTGCATACACTTTGTCATTTTGTCGGTTGAATTTTTCTTCTATGGTGAAGATTTTCTCATCCGTGAACAAAATCTTTCGGAATCCCCCAGCTGCGTACCTCTCCAAGAGCTTCTTGGATCTTGTCGCCCTGATGTGTCGCAAGGTGGCCGTAAGTCGCTGGCCCGTACGTCTCCGGTAAGCCCCTAGCCCTAGGTCTTGTTTAATGATGCGCGACATCGTCCGGACAGGAATCTTCATTTCCCTGGATAGGATCTTCTGCTTCCGGAGTGGATTCCTTTGAATCCTGGCTTTTACGGCTTTGATGGCTGCTGGAGTCCTTACTTGACGAGGTCTTCCGCTTCTTGGCCTGTCATCAACAGAGGACGTCTCATTGTACCGCTGAATGGTCCTAGACACAAATTTACGCGATATTTGAAGGCCGCGTAAGAGTTCAAAAATCTGACTAGCACTGTGATTACACTTATGTAAAGCTATCACTGCAATACGGTTCTCTGCCTTGCCCCACTCCATCGTTATGCTTCGAGAGATCAATACAAACTGAGGTATATGTAAATACCCGAAAAGCGCTTAATCAACTGACACCACAATGTAAACAATCGGACAAGTATTAACAGGTCTACACTTGTTTGAAAACGAGGGACAGAACTTATGGCATGACTATGTATAACCAAACTGATAACTACACTCGCTTGAACGGATTGGTAAATACCAACCCAAAATGGTAAATACCATTTCCATTTGGTTATCCGCTTGAATTTGATTTATGTAACAACACCGCGAACCTAACCTTGAGACGAACCGCAGCGCGCGCTTTTTGACGAACAACATTGCAGTTGCAACAAGCGTCACCACAAACCGAACCACGTCGTGCAACCACATCGTGTAACAAAATGGCGATCCAATGTTGATGTTTGTCGTTCAGTGAAAGACGAATAATAACTGAAATGGATATAGCAGTATATACCAGCAGATCAGCACACGGTTGCAACAATTTGATAGCGGAATTGCCATTTTCCGTTTACATAAGCCAGCTGTTCCCATTTTGGAAGCTATCTGCTCCCAGGCATCATTTTTTTAATTTATTGTAATGTTTTGCATCACACAACAATTCCGCTGCTCTGTAATGCTCTATAAACAAAAGTTTCCTACTCCGATCATTCAATCTTTTCTTCACGGGGTCTATCCATTTACAGTGATGAGTGAACCGGTATGCCCGTCCAAACATGTGCAACTTCGTCGCGAGCCCTTCGTTTGAGATTGCGCTGAAAAACCGACAGAGCCTGGATCGGGCCGAACGGCAAGCTGTAACGCTAATTAGGTTCGCGAAAGCGTTCTTTTCACCGACTACACTAGCGCGGTTCGGTTCACGGTGTTGTTACATATCTGTAGAACATGGCTTTATAATAAATTGTTGTGATCATTTTTCAATGTTAACTTTTACCAAAACCAAATAAACGCATACAACATCAGTTTCTTTCAACATTATAATTTAGGTTTATGTTTATCACTTCAATACAAAAAATGTAAGAACGTTTCATTTCTGTAACGTCACATATTCTTATTTTCCCACAACTCACTCTCAGCTGTAAAATGAAGTCGCTTCAGATTCACCCTTCCTTTACTAGCCATGATTACTTCATTGATCTCAGTATCACTGTTCTCAGAGGATTTTCCTTTTTTACTCGAAACGTGATGCTTTGGAACCTTTATCCCAAAATCTGCATATATGTAATGCTCGTAACCATTTTCAATGCCTTCGAAATAGTTTATTGGCTCACGTTTCATATCTTTAAATGCAGAATAGTCAATTTTAACGTACTTTAGCTCTTTAACGGCAATCTTGGTAGCTTGGGGGTTGTTCAGGTGCATCACGCACAATCTATGCAGGTCATTCCAGGGCAAAAGCCAGTGGAATATTTTGTTACGAGGACTTGATATGCACACTAATAGATCATCACACAGTGTTTCAGGGATACCTGAAATGTGAATCTTAGATTATATTTAAAACTAGAGATTGACCGATACCAATATATGTATGTATATCGGGTAAATCAGGCCGATATGCCTATCCATAGGTATACGTCGACCAATGGAAATCAGAATGTCATTAACAATCAGTATTATTGAGGTATGAAAAAAATATCTAATTTATGATGTCTTATTTCGGTTTGACCATTTTTCCTTTCAGCCCATAGCCCATGAAATTTTTTAAAGAAGAGCCATCAGCTTTAAATAGCAAATCGATTTAGATTTACCAGATAGATACAGGGTGCTTTTTACGGAAACCTTTGATTACCCTCCACCATTTTATTTTTAGAGATACAGCAACAATTGTCAAACAAAAAAAGTTCACATTATCCTTGAATAATTTAAAGATGAGGTATTTTTTTGTTAGGTTAATATAGCGAAATTCACAGAAACATCACTTTTTTAGATTCAAGATTGTAGTTACGCTCCCTAGCGGCCATTTCAGAAACTTGAACATATTTTCCAGGTTTTTTGGCCGTTTTAGTAACTTTTTTTGCCGCAAGCTTCGACGATAGATAGGTTTCCAGATATACCCTATTTCACGAATATCCATCACGGTAGAATGACAGCTGATTATCTAGTACTATCTCGAGATTCCCCATATCGGTACATGACACATACTTCTGACGGATCCGTAAACGTCAGGTGGTCAGAGCCGTATTTTGTTTTGTTTTTTTGTACGCTTCAGATTTATTTTGTATTTGCAACAGCTCTTTTATTTAGAAAAGTTCATTTGCAGACAAAAAACAAAATGCTACAAACAAAAGTTTTACTAGATTTACACCAAATTTTATTGCTAACATTGCAAACTAACACAAAAATGTCACTTGCTGATCAGCTGTTTACCTCAGTAGACGTCAAAGCGTGATGAATACTCGTGAAATGGGGTATACGGTATACAGTGCGACGCATTCTTAGTTGGCCACCCTGTACATCACGAAAAACGATGTCACTCATGTCGGTCTGTTGGTCTGTCTGTCGGTTTATCTGTGGTGAAAGAAAAAGTTGAATCTTATCGGATAAGTGGTAGGATAATATGAAATACATAGAACTTATTTAAATGCCAATGAATTAATTTAAAAATACCTAAGGCAGAGTATTGCATTGCTTCATTCAACGCCATATTAGTCTTGGACCAATCTAGCTTTAGCTGACCTAACCATTCACTGCTACATGTGTCGTCATTATTCAAAGGCTGGTTACCGCATTTTTTATTCATGTTCACCTCCGATACGACTAAACCGCTGCATTTAGCCAAATTTTCAATTTGTTTTAGTCTGTCCTCTGTGGGACAGAGACTGAAAGCTGTTAGCAAACATTCTCTTGTGACCTTCACATGCTCTTCAAAAAATTCAGCCAAACTGGTTAATATTCTTGCTATCTTTGCATTTGTCTTTTCAACCATTTTAGTATCTCTGATAACCTCTTGTTCTTCTTTTACATTCATATCAGCTGTTAGTATTTTTACGTAGATTTTCAATACAAGAGGCTTAAGTGCACTGTCGTAGTTTAATCGCAAAGTATCACACAGGTCTTCTAGTTCAGTAGAATCGGCTAAGTTGCTTATGCGATCCATGGATTCAGAAAACTTTTCCAGAAGGTATTTCGTACTGCAGATTGATTTGTATAATTGTATAAAACCATTCAAAGTTGATTTCAAGCTGGTGTTATAATGATTCATTATTTGTGATATGTACAGTTGTGATGCGACAATAGCTATTTCACGACTGTTTTCCCATAGCTTCAAATACTTGATACGTTTGTTAGCAAATCGTTTTGCGCACTGCAATCCTTCTTGAAGCGGAAGTTTCCTCAGTTTAGCTGTAATTTCGTTATTACCGTGAAACTTATGTAGCAAAGCTATAAAAACATCGAAAATATACCATTTCTGGTCATTAGTTCCATAAAAATTGTCTTTAGTTGATGCGCAACAATCCATGAAAACGGTTGCAAGGTTCAACGCCAAATCTTCACAATGTGATTCGCACAACTTTTTCAGTCTTATGGATATTAGATATGCTGTCTCCGTATAGAAAAACTCAATTTGTTCAGACAAGATTGATCTGTTGTTCGAATTTATGATGTTCGTGAGCGTTGGGTTACCCCAGGGGCTATTTACTACTTCGATCAGTCTTTTAACTGCTGCTTGAATACCTTTTCCGTAATGTAATATAGTTACCTTTCCTTTTTCTATTTCCTCGATAAGAACTTTCTCGTACTCGTTTTTGAAACTATTCCATTCAGCTGAAAGAACTATATTTAACGTGTGTAGTTTAACCCAGTTTAATATTTCTGCAGCAATATTTTTTTCGGTACCGGCGCCTAATTTTTGCAACTTCCTCCAAATTTCTAGTAGTGCTTCCATCTTCGATTCATATTTCACAGATCTATTATTCAAAATCCGTTCATGATAACGAAAAGGCTCAAAATACATTTCTTTTTTTTTCTCCATTGTTGTTTGACTTTTAGCTGGACGGTTTGGCGTTTCACATTTTCATTGCGAATTTGATGTTAGACACCTGAGCCGCTTTGCAGTGCCTTATTTGTGTTACTCGGAGTAACTCGGTGCTGCCCACCACCTGTCAATACTTTAGTCAATACCGTTCCACTGCTCTAGAGTGTTATGCACCTGAGCTACTCATTTTTGAAATCCTCTGCCGCTCATGCACTAGCTTTTTATTCGGTGTTATACGCTCCGAAATAGGGGGATAACGAAAATGACAATGACTCAAGATTTTTGGGTTATGTTTTTTCATCGTTTTTGTTTTTTTGCATTAAACTCACACAGTCACAATGTATATTTGAGATGTTCCTGAATAATAACAATCACAAGAGAGCGCAAGAAGGCAAGTTCATAGCGGCTTGTGGTTGCCTTCATCTATAACTAGACAATTTGAAAATAATTTTGAATGTTTACACTAAAATATGAAATCGACACATTTATCCAGAATGCTTGTGAAAATAATGCAAAATAGGCTTACACATTCATTGTTTGGCAGTGTGATACAAATTGTCAACGTCAAAGCAAAACATCAAAAAATGGGTTAGGTTTTTAACGTCGCGTTCCCGTACGCATTTGCTAGAGCAGTTCGGTAGCGTTACACTCCAGGTGCATACAACTCTCAACTCTCAATTCAAAGGCACTGAAAAGCGGCTCTGAATGAGCAAGCCTACTAAAATTTGTTTTACATTATTTCGAATCCATTATAGTCCAGTCGAATTGTATAAGAGGACTACAAGCTTGGCTAGCGAATGTTTCTATCCATTGGTGTAAATGAGAACAAACCTGTTAATAAATTAATATAATCTATTTATTGTACAATATATTAACAATGAACAACAAAATAAATACAGAGTGTGAGAATGATATTGCGAAAAAGGAGAATCGTGAAAAAATACCACTCACAAATAAATACGAATAAAAAACGAGATATAACTTTAGTTTATTGGTGCCTTACATCATACAACGTCACACATACGATCTTTATTTATATCCTACTTCTCATTTATAAAATAGTTGGCGTTTTTTGTTTATCGAGTTGAGAACTTCAGACCAAAGGGCTGTGCGATGGTAAGTACGTGTCTCTTTCAGGTCCCTTTTTTCTGAATGTTCTCCCCTTTACAAAAGTCAGGAATTACACTCATATACTCAAACGAAAAAATAACATAAAAAATAAAGTAAATGTCCGCAGTTTCGAACGATGGTGATGGATGGAAACTGCGAGAAAAGTTCGTTTCTTTAACACAGCGCTGGGGTTTTATTCAAGTTCGGGGGCTAAATCGAACCTAGGGGGGAAAGTCCCTCCAAGTTGATCACCCATCCCCAATGTTGGACGCTGTCTTGGGGGCTGAAAAATAAAATAAAAATGATTATTCCATAAAACCGATTACCAGACCAGACTAGTGTAGGTCAACACATCATTTTACTACAATCTTTTAATATAGCACTTGATATGGATGGCAGTTCTTGCAAAATGTTTGCAAAAAATTACTCGTCGCATAGTACCTACTATATATCTAACGTTTTTAGCTGTAGTATTTGAAGTTTACACCCATATCAGTTATTTTCATTTTTAGTCAAAGTTATTAAATCCCTATTGGGCATGCATTATTTGATTACAGGGATTATACAGTGCTTTTCATAAAGGCCCACCCTTAACTGTTCTTTGAACGAGTCAAGTTAGCATATTTAAATTCAACTCAAAAAACACATACTTGAACATTTCCATCGAAACAGAACTGAAGAATAACGGGTATGAACAGGTTGAGACTTCCAAATGGTGGAACTGTTTGCTGAACAAGGTTTGTTCAGTATTCGATTGAACAAAAAACAAAAAACAGAAACAAATATTCCTCGATGTCTTATAGTTCGGGAATAAAATACAAGGGGGTACATTGATCAATTCCAACAAGGATAACTTACAAAAATGCTCTCTATCTACTCCAACGCTGCCGCTAAACGCTGTGCAGCAGGTTTAGGCTTAAAAATAAAATTTGAAAATGTAAATCTTCGTAGATTCTCAATTAGTACAATTTGTGTTGATAGTAATATTCGTATTCAACAGAACGTTGTATACGCGGAGACATACTATTTTTAAAGGCCTTGGTACTGCATTTACGATCCTAGTAAGAGTATTAAGTTGATCGGAGAATGTAGATGAGTGTGACAGGAAACTAGATAATCAATCCATCATACGACCGGAACCACTGTGCGGCATATTAAATTGCACAAACCACAATCTCATATGTGTTATAAAATTTGGCACAAAATAGCAGAAAACACTCAGTTTTAGAGGTACCGAGTAGACTTTCAAGTTCCAATGTAGCAGAATAACAAGGATTGAGTAAGAAATAACTATGAAAAGTGGCTGAACTTTTGACTTGTCACTCTTTATTTATGGCACAGCTGAAGGAAGTATGTTTGAGTGTACCTAAGGCTGCCATCCGACAGGAGATTTTTTTGTATCAGGGGAATCTTGTGAAATGTCAGACGCATCCGAGGCAGAAGTGAATCTGTGGTGATACTCATTAACATCTGAGCAGTCGATACGGTCAGTCAGTTCTTACTTTTTCGCTGCTGTTTCACCACACAATAGCCGTAGTATTTCAAGCGTAGTTGTTTCTGGAAAGGAACGTCCCAACTTTCAGGACACCCTATATAGGTGTAATTTGTATAGAGGTGGAGGTGTAGGGATAACAGTAGGAGGAGTACTTACCGCCGGACTAGCTCCTCTCGCCGCTGATCCTGAGCGTCCCTTCGCACGGAATTTCGCGATGGCCTGTTCGGCGAGGTCTGCACGTTCTTCAGCCTCCTCCAGCTCTTGCTGTGCCTTGCGGAATTTGGCCAAGTTGAGGGCGGCAATCTCTTCCGCTTCTTCGATCTGCCTCTTGTATGTCTTGATCTTCTGTTGCAGTTTGTCTACCAGATCCTGCATACGTTCGTGGTTCTTGCGGTCTTCTTCCGCCTGGAAGCTGAGCTCTTTGATGCGGCGCTCAGATTTCCTGAGGTTCTTCTGGGCGTCAGCGTGTCTCCTTTGTTCGCCATCCAGCTCGTTCTCCAGCTCTCTGACGCGTTGTTCCAGTTTGGCGATAGCCTTCTTGCCACCTAGAACAAAAAATATGCTCGTTAGAATATATTGTAACAAATAGTACTGTCGGCACCATCTGTTGGGCCAGTCTCCTACTCGCCAGAGCTTCATGACCGATCTCTGATTTTACGCGAACCACGACCGCACAAGCCGCTTGGCGGCGTCTGTGAGGACCGTGGCAGTGACTCAACTTCTAGATCGATGCGAAGTGACCTCTAATATTCTAGATGCCGCTTTGTGGTTCACCAGACCTTTCAAGAAGCAGCAATGGGGACTATATATATAACTCGGCGGCCGTGAGATGGAAGAAGAGTACTGAATACGGTAGAGTAGCAGAGCGGAGTGGAGTATAGTGCAGTTAATGGCGACATGATAATTAGTCAGACATAAATAGTGGTGTACATAAATGTTCTATCAAGTTAAATAAATTAGTGCATTTCTTTTTGTGTAATCCAGTGTTTTAATCCACACCCAAAAGAACTCAGAGAAACGCTACAATATATATCTTTCTAAAATTTTAAACGAGATTTATTAGAAGATGTCAATATAAATGAACTCTCCTTGAATCTAACATGAAATGTAGAAAAACAGATGCAAACAAATGTCGGATCTATTAGCTTAAAAGCATAATAGCTCCAATATGCGCTGGGATTGATAAAGGTCAATTTAAACTTTTTATTTGCCTTTATCCGCGCTACCAACCAAAATATTCGAAGATGAGATGTGTGTTACGAGTCATATACAACCCAAAAAAGCATATTATTTTCGATCGGTCTGACCGACCGCACGAAGAAGATTTGTGTGTTTTGAAAATTCTTCTAGTGGCGCCAGAGCAAAAAGGAAAACATGAAAACGCTTTTTCGACGTTTCAAAGTATCCTGATTATTTTTAGAGTAATTTTCTCTAGGGGGGTTGGAAGAGCTTGAGTATAAAAACCCTGGCACCACATGCCTTACGAGCTATCTATAAATCAGACCTGCCAGTGTCTCTCAGTGAGATAGAACACACGTCTTGAGCAGATAATCTGTAGCGTGGCGACTAGTCAGACTTCATTCAGATACAAACACAAAAGATAGAAACACAAAATAGTTTTTCTTAACTAGTTGGTAGACTCTTAGAGTTCGAGGAGATGGAAGTAGTAGTATGCAATTTGGCGACCTACTTTGGTCAAACCTATACATGTTCTAGACTACGTACCTTTTAGTGCGTTTGCCTCAGCCTCATCCAGCCTGACTTGGAGATCCTTGATCTGTGCCTCAAGTGCCTTGCGCAGTTTTTCTTGTGTCTGAGCATGATCCTGTTCGGCGCGGAGCTCATCAGCTAATCTGGCAGCATCAACCATTGCCTTTTTGGCCTTCTCTTCTGAGTTCTTAGCCTCGTTGAGCAGCTCGTCTAAGTCGGAATGCAGGGTCTGCAGTTCTGTCTCCAGCTTCCTCTTGGCAGCGGACAGAGAGGCGTTCTGGGCGCTGAGGTCATTCAGTTGTTCGTGAGCATCGCCCAATTCCTGTTCTGCCTGGCGACGGGCACGGTCGGCCTGTTCCAGGAGAGTGCGAGACTCCTCCAGTTCGTTTTGAAGGGCATTGGCACGGCGTTCGGATATACCCAGTTGTTCGCGGGCTTCGTCGCGGGCACGTTGTTCCTCCTCCAGGGCTTGCTGAGTGTCCTTCAGTTGCTGTTGGTAGCGTTTGATGGTCTTCTGGGCCTCGGCGTTAGCCTGAAAAATTGGGACCATTTAGTCACAGGGATTATTAAAAATTATATCTATGGTGATCGTTGCAGTTGTTAATATGTCTCCAATGTGCCATAGACTTAGATCCTATAATTTGTTAGTTTAGGATAAGTTTTGAACAATCGATATCCCTATAGTTTTTCACAATATCTTCATTCTGTATGACGAATTAAATAGGAAGAAAAATTACTCTAATATAATGATGTATTTAGCATTTTGTGTGTACGACTGCGAAGCTTACTCCATCGCGAATATAGGGCAAATTGTTTGTTGGTAACTCATCTGGTACTTTTTGGATAATATTTAAATATTACTATCTTGACGTGTTCTTCGTGGATGTTTACTTTGCCACCTCGTGTGTTTGCACTTGTGTCGCCTTACTGAAAACATGGCGTCCAAATAATTGTTTTTTCATCCTTCTCGATGTCTTTGTATTCAGTTATTTCAGAACGCATGTACAGAAGAAGCAAGGATTGTAAAACTCTTTAACAACGCGAAACTTTGGATAGAGCATGCTAAAATATATAGAATCAGTTACTTTTGAAGCTTCCAGGTAAAGCTACCAGATCAATTAACAAATGAACAATGTCGCTTATATTCGTATTAAACTTTATTGCTGCTGTATGCAGAAATTGGTAACGAGACTGAAAATGTAAATTTCCTCTTTCGAATTTGTCTTACCACATATGAATTTTAATCGTAAAAAGTCAGAAATTGGTATTGTCAGCAACGTAGAGACTTAATGATATAATAACTTTTTGGTGAAGTGTATTTGGAAAGAGTGGAAGTTCAAACAAATGCAATAATACGCTACTGATATTTGAGTGAATTGAATCTATAAGAAGGTTTATTAGTCCTCATACCTTGTTAGCATGGTCCAAAGCGATCTCCAATTCATTGATGTCAGCTTCCAACTTCTTCTTCATGCGAAGGGCCTCAGCTTTACCCTTGGCTTCGGCCTCAAGGGAAGCCTGCATAGAGTCCAATGCACGTTGGTGGTTCTTCCTGGTGTTTTCGAACTCCTCTTCCTTCTCTTGGATGCGCCTGTCGATTTCCTGTCGTACTTGAGACAGTTCCAGTTGAGCGCGCAGTACTTTGTTCTCTTCCTGTTCGAGAGCAGCTTCGGCTTCCTCCAAAGCGGCTTGAAGCTCGTCCTTTTCGGCCTCCAAGCGCTTCCTGGCCTTCTCGATTTCGTGGATGTTGCGGCCACCTTCGCCGATCTGGTCCAGGAGGTCCTTGACTTCGTCGGCGAGGTTCTTGTTCTCGCGGCGTACGGCTTCAAGTTGTTCCTGAGATTCCTCGTAAGCTCCCTTAAGCCTGAACAGTTCGGTGGAGTAGTTTCTGCATTCCTTCTGGCTGGCATCGAGCTCTGCGGCAAGGTCGTCGACCTTAAGTTTCCATTCTCCAATGATCTTGTCGAAGGCCTTCTGTTTCTTTTCGGCTGCGTTGGCAATAGCATTGGCGCGGTCCACTTCCAGTTGGAGGTCTTCCACTTCGGTGGCAAGGCGCTGCTTGGTCTTCTCCAGAGCAACGCATTTTTGGTTGAGAGATTCGATGGTCTCCTCGGCTTCTGCCAAACGGGCCTGCAGCTTCCTCTTGGCCTCTTCGAGTTCCTCGGAGCGAGCGACTCCTTCGGATTCGTATTTCTGCCTCCAAAGCTGAGCGTCGGCATTGGCCTTGCTGAGTTGGCGTTGGAGGTCGGCCTTAGCTTCAGCTTCCTCTTCAACCTGAGGAACGTGAAGAAGCATATAAAATCATGAAAACAAGAGTTAGGTTCAGTAGTATCTCATGGGACCTCATATATAAAATGTAAGTAAAGGATTGGCCCCGGAGTGGAACCCTAAAGGATAATATTATAGACCGTGCTTAAGAGATTTACCTGTTCACGGATGTTATCCAAGTCGTGTTCCAGGTTGCGGAATTTACCCAACAGAGTAGCGCGTTCGCGAGCTTCCTCGTCGGCTAACCTCTTGGTGTCTTCCAATTGGGTGGTGAGTGACACCTTGATCTTGCTGAGCTGAGACACCTGAGACTCGGCTTCCTCCAGTTGTCTTAGGAGGTCAGAGTTCTCGATGGACAGCTTCTTCTTGGCAGCATCGAAGTCGTTCAAAGTGCGGTTGGTCTCGTCCAGTTTGGTTTGGACGTCGTTGAGTTGCTGTCCAAGCTGTTTGGACACCTTCTCGATGGCGGCCTGTATGGAACGATAAAATGGTGAGCTTGTGGTTTGGAGGAGAAGTGTGGAAACAGATACACAAAGCTTGCTTACGTGGTTAGGGAAGAGTTGGATTAGCGGCCCAAATACACAATGAATTATCAGAAACATGAACACTTGGAGAGGATGATTAGAGGTAGATAGTCGTTCAAAAATGATCAGGAAGATCAACTAATTAACCAAGTAGATATGGCGCACCTATTTTGCAGTATCTAGAAATGAATAGCGTTTCTTTTCTAAGTATACGTATAGTATGAAGAGACCAGAAAACGAGTAAATTGGCAGATCTTGCTCTATAGGGTGAGTGTTTAAGCACAGATTAAGTATAGAGACAGATTATGTGCAGTAAACTGATTTTTAAGTTGAATTCGTGATAAATTTGCGTTTTCATTACACACGCATTATGGAGTATCATGATTTCAAAAATTTTTATATTTTAGTTGACAAGTCCTTTGATGTATCATCATAACAAAAATGCCTCTATTTCTGTCTACCAGTTTCTCAGTATGACGAATTTTTGCAATATAAAAGGCGCACCAATTTTGATAGAATTTGGAGAATGATATGATGTAATCATATCATTTTGAAAATCTGTACAGTACGGGCAGAGTTATGAGCAAAAAACAAAGGAATTTCAGGCAGTTCCAGGACTTAGCTTTTGGTTTCAGAGGAGTCAGACTTGAGCAGTGTTTCGTGATATGAAATCTTCTTAGCATAGCTTGCTTGAAGCGAATATTCTTCCTGACATTTCAATTCGACATACCTACCAAAATCACCCCATAAATACATTGAAGCAGCAACATTAAGTTCCTTAGGCGTCGGCGTCTAAAAATTCACTCGCTAAACGCTAAAAAAAAATATAAAGCAGAATGGCTAACTGGCTAGTTGTGGATCAAAGTCCACTTAAGCTTAGTGCTCGGTAGTACCTTTTCGTTAGCCAAGTGGTCAACAGTGGCGCGTAGGTCGTTCACTTCGCCGAAGTACTGAGCCTTCTCTTTCTCAGCCCTATGAAGAGAAACAACAAGAAAAACATGTAACAAAGAAACAAAACAATAAGGGTGTGATGCAGGTGTAAAAAGAGGGGGTAAAAAGACGATAACACGACAGTACAAGGGTACACGTAGACCGTTGTACCTTTTCTCGTCCGACTTGCTCGACTGCCTGACGAGTCTGCTGTAGCTCGGAGTAAATTGCGGCACGATCTCTTTCAGCCCTAGATCAGATTCAGTTATTTAATAATAATACCAACCACAAAAAGTAAGTGTCCTTTTGTTATCCAAAAGGTATATGTGCTTGCAGGACACGTTGATGACGCTGCCTTAAATAAGCTTGTTACTGTAAGTGTAATAGTATCAATGCAGATGCCATTTTCTTTAACGGAATCATTTTTTTACTTGTAAATCAATTTCTTATGTGTAAATCTAAAATTGTATTGTTTAAAAGACAAATTTGAATGTTTTGATAAGGATGTCTGAAAACCTGCGAATGAAGAATAAAACCATAATACATTAATGTATTATAAAACTAATCTGAAAACTAGAAATAAAGGGTGAATGGTCAAATAAATTATTTTTTGGCCTACTGCTCGTCTTTGGTTCTCAAGGCGGTCCAGAGGACCTTACCCTTTAGGTCATAGTCACTATAATGTCAGTGTCTGTCGTTAGTCGTTGCTTTGTCAGGTGTGGTGGCCCAGAAATCAGATCAGGGAAGAGAGAGAAAGGAGGGACTTGAAAAAGCGAGAAGTGAAAGAAAAGTGACTGTTTTATGTAAATATATGAGCTGAGATGGATCTAGGGATTGTTACATTGTACTATAAAAATGTTGACTTCTCCTGAACTAAAGTTTGATGATTAATACTATATTTTTGAATGTCTGAACATGAATTTGAATTTGTTCACAGCCTATCTCCTCGACTATGTAATCCACTGCTTTACGTAACAAAGGGTTGTTTTGCGATTGCGCTTGCTAGTAGTGCCGTTATGCCATACCTATGATGAATTTTTTTATATATCTTAATAGTCCCCGATATCCACATTGGCACCTGAGTGTTACATCTTATGAAATATGCTTGGCTTTGAGGTGAAAAGTTAGGGTAATTTAGAGCGAAGCTGTCAGATCTATACTGGTAAAAATTTCTATTGATTATTTAAAATAGTTAATTTTCTCTATATATTTGAAGGAAAAGAGCATATTGTTATATCAAATATTCGAAAAACTAATGCCTATTATAGAACTTGAGGCACTCATTTTATTCCATAATCTTTACTATGTGTATTACCTATGAGTTTTCCTCTAGCTATTCAGCTTTCAGAGTGCCTTAGGAAAGAGTTTATACGTTCTAGTTAAGTTTGAAAACGTATTTTCTTAACCTCAAACATGACACATGACATTTTGTGGAAGCTGCCTTAATGATACTTTTTTAGATCCACAGATTCAGCTTGCAGTTAACTAGTATCTCTTAGTAATTTAATTGATTACTCACTTGGCCTTCAGCTTGTTGAGCTGGTCGATCTGTTCACCCATTTCTGAGACAGCATCGTTGTGCTTCTTGCGCAAGTTGGCCAAGGTCGCCTCGTGTTGGATGTTCGCTTCCTCGAGGTCCCTGCGGAGTTTCGCTAGTTCGGCTTCGCGCTTCTTGTTCAGCTCGATCTGGGCGGAAGTGGCACCACCAGCTTCTTCCAGACGCTCGCCCAATTCTTCCAGTTCCCTTGCGAGATCGGCACGTTGCTTCTCAGCTTTAGCGCGAGCCTGGCGTTCAGCTTCGACTTCCTCTTCCAGCTCTTCGATACGGGCCTGAAGCTCTTTGACCTGTTTCTGTTGTTTACCTACCACAGATTGTTCGTCTTCCAGTTTGGCGCTCAGAGAAGAGATTTCTTTGTCTTTCCTCTGGATGGTCTGTTCCAGTTCCTTCTTATTGCGTTCCAGATCAGCAACAGCTTCCTGGGTGAGTTTCAGGTCACCCTCAACCTTGCGCTTAGATTTCTCCACATCAGCGCGTAGTTTCTTCTCGCGCTCCAGAGAGTCTTCCAACTCGTCCAAGGTCTGTTCCAGTTTGGCTTTGACCTTGTTCAAGTGGTTGACCTTGTCTTCGGCGGCTTGGAGTTCTTCAGAGACCTTCTGGTTATTCTCACCAGACAATTTCTTCTCCTTGTTGAGCTTGTTGATGAGCTCATCCTGGTGGGCGATTTCATCGTTCAAGTTCCTGATTTGATGGTCCTTGGTGGCCTTGTCGGCTTCAGCTTTCTGGAGGTTAAGCTCCATGTCTTCCATATCCTTTTTGAGGCCGGACAGTTCCTGCTCCAATTTCTTCTTCTGTTGCATGAGTTGGTTGCGGGCATCCTCCTCTTGGTTCAAACGGTCTTGGGTTTCCTTTAAAAAGTTAATGGATTATTTTTATATTTGTTTTGGTTTATGAGAGTTACAATAGAGAGGCAGCTTTGTAACAATTCTGTAGATAAAATGGGCAATATTATTTTCTTACTGATACTTCAGTACAAGCTCAAATAATTCCGTAAATTGCTGAGATGACCAGAATTGAGCAATCATAGTTACCAAGGCAGCTGTTTAATTTGGCTACGAAAATGTTAACAGGAAACCCATATGTTTTTGATAAAGTGTTATGTATACATGTATGAATTTTCAGCGACTAGTTATCATTGGACAAGAGACCATACATATACAGTTGAACTGAAAACATTTTGCGTTGTTAATAAACTTATTTTACACAGATAGACATATTATTTAATAAAACCACGTTCGATATTATACTTCAGCTCACTATATTGGATAAAGAATTTGAAAAACGTTTGAGTAGAAGTTGAAGAGTGGGGGCATGCATGCATGCATGAGTCACTTGAGGCGCAATGGATCAAAAACGCCCTCTACCTACTTAATCGTTGCAAGGCAGCCACTCTTAATTTAAACTCCATCGTCCCACAAAGTATTTAAAAATAAATTCTGGAATTTAAGTACATTTGCGCAAACAAGGTTGGGTGCAAATACCAAAAGATATTAATCGGTATATATTTTTTAAAATCCCTACTTGCACCTGTTGGCCACTGTCCAATAAAATATTTCTGACACTTTTTCATACAGGCTCGAATTACTCGATCTACTTATTTCGTTGAAACTGTGCCAACGATTAAGAGCACACATCGCTGAAAGGAACTTACTATTGAGTTTCAGATCTACAACAAAGATATTGAAGAGTATAAAGGTGTAGTTTATGATGTGCCAATGATATGTCTCTCTTACATTTTGATCATGACTTATGTTTTATACCACATTTTAATAGGTTTTTACTTTTATTTATCATCAAAAATAATCATTGTGAGTCACATTTTGAATGTGAAAATAAGCCAAAAATTGCAACTCTCAAAAAGTTTTTAGTAATCGAGACTCATTTAAATAGTTACCTGTTTAGATACTTGTAATAATTATTTTCTCTAGACCTAGTATGAAGATTCAAAAATATATCTTCAATCTCTAATTATCTAAATACTGTGGCATAAATATTTCAAGAGGCAGTTCGCGGTGTCATGAAAAGTGAAAATACGGCTTGGAATGAGTCACGTTAAAAATACATTCCAGAGATATCGTGTGTTTTTAAGAAATGCATAGTATTTTTATTTTCGTTCTTCGTATTTATAAATTCATGAGACATATTACTTATACGTACTTGAACGTACTAGAAAAGTCAAAAAGGAATAGACTTGGTTTCCCCTCAAAAAATCGTTTTTACACATTTCGTTCTTTGGCATACCATAATACTTTTTGATAAAAACCATCACGAAAATCCCATTGACAGGCCTTTAGAAGGGTGCACTTTTAGATTACACCTTCTGCATTATTCAAATTAAAATTGCAACATTCAATTTGAATACCTAAGCTAACTAATATACATGGGCATATTTAACGAATTTAAATTCGTAGATTTTGGATTTTTGTTAAGCATTTAGTTCTTTTGGAGAAACTTAAACTTTTTATACTTGGTTCTAATAATTACAAAAATTATACATTTCACATTTATTGTAAGAAATTTCGAACTTGATAAGGATTGAAAAATCGGAAACTTTGAGAGAAAGCTTCCGTGTATGCTAGGTAAACTTTGGAAACACTTACAAAAGTCACCACTAACAGCTTTTGGATTACTGTACTTTCTGATGAAATATTTTGAATTTATTGAAATAAATACGAACCAGATCGCGCAGAAACTGACTCATAAAATTTTTTTCTAAACCATTTGTTTAGCGAAATTTGAAAACTTCAGTTGCATTGGAATTAAACATTTCAAATAACCAATTTCTGCAAACTTGTTTGGGTAACATCCCGTTCCCAAAATCTGCTCCTTTTCAGTATGGGTTACAAGAATATAAATTTTTTTGCAACTGGAACATGCTAAATTATAAAACACTGTAGAGAATTTAAAATGAATATTCCCTTGGGTTTGCAATTTTCTAATAGTTGATCTTTACGATATTATGATAATAGAGAAAAAGAAACCCAAATTACAAGAATATAAAATTTCTTACGACTAAGCTTTGACAAAATGTGAAACTTGACTGATTGTAGAAAAAGTTTAGGATGATGATATACGGGTATGTGTTATCCCAGAATAGCAATTTTGTGAGACGATGAAAGTAATTATGAACAAGAGAAAAAAGAACCTTACCTGTAACTGCGACTCGAGATCGTTCTTCTGAGCCTGTAATTTGTTGGCCCTCTCCGTAACGTCAGACAAACTTCCCTTCTCGCCCTCCAAGTTGCTCAGTAGTTCAGTCTTCTCGGCCAGAAGCTTGGCATACAAGCCTTCCAACTCCTTCTTGGCCTTGGCTTCACGCTCGAAGGCTTCTTGGGCCTTGGCAGCCTTCTCTTCGAGTTTCTGTAAAATTTCTTGTTTGTTAGGACAGGTATAGTCGATGTCAACCATTTTGCCGAGTGTTTCGCGATCACGGATCAAAGCACTGGAAGAGCCTGCGCAAGACTGAGCTGAGCAATGTGCGGTCGAGTGGACTCAGGTCTGGTGCATGTGGGCGTCGCGGATTTAGGATTCGATGAAAGATTGCCGGCGCTCATAACTCGATGACAGCGTTAATGGAGGGAGGTTTTATATTTAGATTAATATGGGACAGGTAATTTTGAGTGAGAAGGCTATAAAAATTGATGTTTACGATTTTATAAACAGTGTGCAACCGTATTCGCCGTGAAGGAGCGTATTTTCGTATATTGCAGCGAAATTGTAAACATAGAGCAGCTTGCTATCGATTTTGCGAAAATTTTACTTCGAGCATACTCTGCAGTTTTAGGAAATTTTACAGCTCTTTGAGATGAATAGCTACAGTTTCTGTTATTGGTCTAACAGAAGAAACAACTGCAAACAGAATTTTATGAATCAGCGAGAAATGAAACTTTTTAAACCAATTATTGTTCTATTAAAGAGCTTTAGCTAATGAAAAGGGATGTTGATCCAAAAATATTATTCACTTTTGGAAAATAGATTGCTAAAACAACAGACATTCTAAACCACCAATCTCAGGGGTGTTAAGTCACTGCGAAAATAATTAAGGGTACTGATGAGTAAGGTTTGTGTAAAAGCTCGATACACTAGCTTTCAATAGGTAAAGGAGGTGGAACAGTTGTGGACTCTCAGTATCTAGCACAGTATAAGCACTAAGGTTTGGTATGGATGAACTACGAACAAGCGATTCCATTTATTTCTGGTCACTGGTAATTCAAAGCACACCGATAGAAAGTAAGTATGATTATATCAAGTCCCTATGCAGGAGGGTCGAAAGACACTGCAAAGCATGCTATTTTTGATTGATTTGTGATAACTACATAATTAATAAGTCAAGACAGAAGGCAAGGGACATTGTTCAAAGAATTGCTTAGCTAATAAAGAACTTAGGGACCCTGCTTAATGCTTGTAATTTGGCGTACAAGATAAACCTATTCTTGCAAACACTTAAGATGGCATATGAAAGTTTCTCCAGAGTGAACGGCTGGTTTCATGTTCTAAGGAAAATACATTCAAACCCATACAACCAATCCATATTTTTAACAACGTGAAGTAGTATGCAAAAGGTGATGCCGTATTATCCAAAAGGAGAAAGTAAACAGGGGTAGATACTAAAAAATTCAAGACTGGGGATGTAAGTGACGCTGTGGAAGTGGAAAAAGCGGATCAAGCTTTTTCAAATGGAATATAGAAAAAAATATATTTTGACAGCCTTCGCTTAATAGACACATACTCAATGCAACTAAAATAATATTTTAATTAATTTGTCACTAGGTTGAAGTGCGCCGCTGGTACAGGTGCACAACTCTTCCGTACAACGTCATGACGTCATTGCCAACTTGTAACGAGAGATCTACACCCTCCACTGTTTGAGAACTATTTTTACCTTGAAATCGGAACGATTTATTTATCGAACATTTTACTATTCCGTTTGTTTTGCTAATAATTTCAATAAAATTTCCAGAAATAGCTAGCCTATTATAAACATCTCTTTTTCAGCGAACGCACTTTCCTCTGTTTTCTTTGCTAACAGACACGGAAGTAGCGCGAAAAGATTTCAACGTCAGCGATTTCTAGTGAGTTTTTATTTGAGCAACATGGGAGGTTCTGGAAACGCATCAGAGCTGTATTTGTGTTAAAATGATTGGAGTCAAGACGAACTGGAAATCGACGCAAAAATTAATGTTTCTGGAATAATTTTTATAGTCGCCCATTTTGTATGTTCAAAAAACTTGAACTTAACATTGTGGGCTAGAGAGATTGCTTGAAAAATGACGACGAAAATTTTTTGTTGTTTCGTTATTTTTTTCATTGTTTTTTGTTAATTTTGCAGCTTGATGCTATTTTGGAACTTGTTTTAAGTGGAATGGGGGGTCGTGTGAGAACTCACTTTGAAGCTATTGAGTACTTCAAACTTCTGTAGATAACAAAATCCTACCATTTTTCAAAATGGCAAGCTGGCGAGCTGTCAAGGTTGGGCATTTTTGTTCATTGTGTCGTTGATAACTCAGTAACCAATTATCAAAATGCTATAGTATATGTTATATCAACCTTCTTGTCTTGAAAGTTTCTATCCGAATATGTAATAAAATAAACAACATTCCACTTTAAAACTGAAAAAACGGCAATTTTTTTTTAAACCTAATATAACTTAATATATCATACTTTATTGCACACTCGGATACACCCTTCCAAAAGAAGATTTATATAGCATACTATAACGTTTTGATGATTAGTTGTTGAGTTATGAGCGATTCAATATACAAAAATGCTCAACTGTAGCAGCTAATTCCATTAAAAAAAATGCCACAAAATAATGGCCATTTTTACGTTGAAGTATTTATGCGTATTATATTTATATATTTTCAACATGTCCAAATTCAGCTCACTATTTTGATACCTTCAGATTCATCAGTTGCAATGTATGAAAGTAAATCAACACCTGAGCTGTGGTTGTCTTCCAAAATGATATCTCTAAAGTCCTGTATCTCACAAACTCTTAAAAGTATTATTTAATCTAAGCAATGAGTTTTTAAGCATGTTGAAAACTTCTCGACCAGATATCACATCAAATATAGTGCTATTTAGACTGTAGACTTTGTGAAAGGCTTTGCTATTATATTTTTCGTTAAAATTTGTGTTTTTCCATTATTTTATTAAATAGGTACTTATCAATATTGATAGTATGAATAAACGTTCAACTTTAACTCAAGCTTATGCAACCTTGGAACAAGTTTATGGTATTCGAATAGTAATAGAAATAGATACTTACGGCGATCTCATCCTCGATACGGGTGACGTTGAGGAGAGGTCTGACCTTCTGCCACAGTTTGTACCATGGCCATGTGCGCAGTTTGAGGTATTTGCGCAAGTTTCTCTGGCACACTTGGAGAGCCAAACGTTGTTCTTGTAGTTTCTTGAACTCTTTTCTAGAGAGGTAACCTCTGGCCCAGGACTGCATCCAGGTAACGATCTTGCCCAAACGTTCGTCACGAAGTTCCTCCATCTGACCCAGGACACCGGCTCTGAAGAATACCTGTTCGATTTTAGGGTAAGTTTAGAAGAGGAGATACGGGTTTGATTTATAATATTGAGAAAGATTTTGAGTTTATGTTTTGTATCGAGGACCTTTCTTCAAGAATATGGTTTTCGGGAAAAACTTGACATGCAACTGTATCTTATACAGAAGCAGCCGCGCAGGCAGGTAAGTACCAGAGCACCGCGGCTGCTATGAGATGCTAAAAGAAACTTAGTTATTCCGATTCCGATATCACATCAGTATTTCTTGCTCTATTTGTAAATGTAAGGAAGAGATTGATTAATAATATCAAGTAATCAAATTCCTTATCGTTCAAGTTTGGCCTTCTCTGTGGTTATAGTGTGGCTTTAATCCATCGTATTTTTGTGCCAAACTTGATGGTCGGTGCTGGTTTTATCGTAAATGGTTTCCAAAAATATGCAGATTAATTTTGTCTTGAGTGTTTGATGTGAAGGAGCGAAATACCAAGGGTAAGTCAGGCAGGCTTGCACTTAAAGCACTTGACTCCACCTACTAGACATCAAAATTAGAGTGGAATTGCAAAGAATCTCTCGGTGGCATAGAGGAGGGAAATGAAGTCCGTCTCATATGGATACCAGGACACACAGGTCTAGAGGGAAACGAGACAGCTGACACTCTGGCAAAGAGTGGGGCTAGCACACCCTTCATAGGGCCTGAGCCAGCGATTGGGATCGCATACAATACGTCTAAACAAATAATCTCTGCAGAGGTAGACAGAAAGATCCATCAATACTGGGATTAGTACGACTAACCCATGCTAAGGCAACTATACCAATCTTGACACGGCTGAACAGGAATGGCCTCAAAGCTCTAGTAGGACTGTACACTGGTGATTGCAAATTGAGTCACCACATGAGCAGGCTGGATGATGGAAGACGCTGAGTGCAGAATGTGCATGGAGGGAGATGAAACGGTCAGACATGTATTGTGCAGATGCTCTTGCAATTGCCAGAATCAGGTACAACATACTTGGAGACGTAGTACCCCAAGCAGAAGACCTCAAGGATATTTCTCAAAACAAGTTGATCGACTTCCTCGGGAGGTAGGAGGTACTGGGAAAAATAAATCGTTATTGATGCACTCATAAAAAAAATCACTAACCTAAGTCAGACAGGCTTAAACTCACTCGAGGTATGGCTGAAGAAACCCCACGTTTCTACGCTATCATACATATAAACCACTTTGGAAAATGCTCGACAAGGATCCCTGGCACATCAGGGTACCAAAGCAGTGAAAAATGTTGAGAAAGCTACAGGAACCACCAGTCATAGATGTGTGCAGTCCATCAGAAACATTAGATTATTATTAACAAGATTTTTTCCGGCCTTAGCACTGAGCTTCTATCTATGAAGGAGAGTTTCCAAATCCACTCTGGCACAACAAATCTGATGGTGGCTGCGTTACGCCCATTAGATACGGATACTCCAATGAAAAAACCTCGAGCCGCTATGTATTGTGAATTTTTGAAGATATGATACTTTTTTAATTTTAAGTATGTAAGATAAACAGACGATTGGTTGATTTTTTTTAAATTGATACCCGTCATCTAGGCGTGATAAACTTCTTCTCATGACATATGCGTTTATGAGGTGAAAGTCTTAATTTATGCTTCCACCTTATTCACCAACTTATTTGCGCATGTCACTGGTCCGGGTCTATGTAGTAAACATACTTGAATTACTAGTAGCTTCTAATTGAAAACAGCAGTACTCATCTCCAAATGATTGCCTGTTCTGTTCATAATGTATTTCTTAATTATGATACTGGTTGCTGTATTTACCTCAAAATCTTTCTCATAAATAGCAGTAGCCACCAGAAATGAAGCAGGGCACGTAGTGCAGCTAAAGCTCAAACTAATGGAATGATACATCAACGTTAGTACCAACATGTTGTAAAAATAAGAACTACCTGTTAAATATATCTATGAAAACCTTGTATACGGTAAAATTTCACAATGATCCAGCAAATACAAAAAAACATAGGAACAAGATTAAAAGTAGATCGGTAAGATAGGTTCAAAGGAATCAGTAAAGATAACTAATATCTGGGTACCTTAATATATTTCTCGAATATGTTTGGTCAAATCAAACTAATACCGGGTTACGAAAATGGAGCATGCTCAAAATTGCTGGTTACTTCAAGAGAATATTTTTTGAAACTAAGTTTTTCTAAAAAGCCTTTTATTAAATATTTAAGCTTCCTACCAAAACGGGGTCTGAGGTATATACAATAATTTTGACATTATTGTTCAGCTAGAAGTACTTTGAGCTTTCTCCTATATTAAGTTAGTTATTGTCTGAAAATATGATTACAAGGTTTTCATATTGTGATGGCAACCACTAATACCTTGGTTTTACCCAGTCGGTACTGTTCTGGTTCAAGGTTGATGTTTTCCAAGATGACCTTTGTAGCTTGTTCAGGAGACATGCTATCTTTTATCTTACTTGCAGCCAGAATTTTGTATCTGATTTGTGCAAGAAACAAGAAATTATAGAATTAACACAATACACACATCACACAAAATACATATGGGGTAACAAACTTTTACCATTTGCCTGTCGAGTGACAATGGTTGGAGGAATGAGGTATCGAGCAAACTTTTATCAACTGTCAGTCGTAAGACAGTGATACATAAACGTGAACATAAGTGGGATTTCATCAATGTTCGGGTACGTTTTGAAACAAAATCAGGAAACTGAGTTAGTTATCTAAATTATCTCTTTTGGCCCCAAAGGTACGGAATGGGATTTCAAAGTTCACTACTAACATCTTTGAAATCCCACAAATGCCATACATGTCAAAACCCCTTTGTCTGTCAGTGGACAACGGATATAACATTGCTGAAACAAAAGTGTAAACACAGGAGTAAAACGGAATACACAACGGAGGAGACATGCCTTGGTGTGACCTAGACGATACAGATCAGCTTCAAGACCGGTAGCTTCAAGGATAACACCAGCACACTTTTTAGGATCAGATTCCTTTTGGGCTCCAGCTGGGTTAAGGATCTTGTATCTACATGGGACAAAATCGTTACAGTACTTGACAATGGATAAACAAATATTCTCCAACACTTACGAACTACAAAGGGTGCTACTCGACATATAGTTCAAAAAAGGTGGTAAGAGACCTCATTTGGATTATTTTTTGTTCAAGAATATCAAATACCTTATATAGTCAACTTTTGAGTAATTGATGTCCATCATCTCCCGAGCAATGCAATGTGCTGATCTTATATAGAATTACATCGATACCGACTTAGTGATCCGTTTCAATCACCACCTTTAAACCATATGTTTTCGAGCAAACATTTCTATAATACTGGATACAAGTATTCGACAAAGGACCTCAGGACTTCCACTGTGAAGACCTAAAAAGTACTACATGCAAAACGATACGAATGATAGACTACTATTTTACGAGGGTTGGGTGGTACGTTGAAAACCCTTGCTTGCCTTTGTGTGTCCTACTCGATAAGAGTCAGGATCTAAGCCAATCTCCTCCAGACATTTCCTAGCTGCCTCTTTGGGGTCTTTTTCCTTAGCCATTGTTGCTGGGGCTAGGATCATGTATCTATAGTATGATGAAAAATATAAATATCCCAGATATAGCTCTATTCACAAGATTATGGAGCCGTAAGTTGAATATTGGAAAGGTTAGATCTTGCTACAAATGTTAAGCTATTATTGGGAAGATTTTTGTGGAAAAATGATAATCTATTTATCCTAACACGAAGTAACTAAATACTTTTAACTTTGCTTCGTCCCACTTTGCTGGCAATTTCGCATCATCCTTAGTGATACAACAAGTAATTTGACAAGATTTGGGAACTGGCAGTTAAAACGTAAACTGACTGAGCATAATCTTATTTCTATCTAGCTGTAATAGATGCAAGAGATTCCGGACTGCAGCAAGAGTGCAATGAAAACTAGAATTTTTTGTCATTCGTGACATATTGAGTCCTGTCACATCTATCTGAAGTAGTTAGTATGCAACGTACATAATATTCTTGGCACACACACAGTCATAAGACCTGCTGTGCTGTGCGCTCTCACTTGCAGGTGTTCCATTCCAAGTTCTTAATGAAAGGTTACAGCCGTATAAGGAACCAATGTCACAATGAGTTTCATATATTTCCAGAAACAAACTAACTTAGTTTTGAAGCCTCTTGGTTGGTCCTCGCCACCCTTAGAGTATGTCATTTTAAACTTGCAATTCATTGAAGCCACAACCAGCTAAATGTATGTTCTCCAAAATAGTATAGTTAATCATTATGAACCATAATAGTCCTGTTCGCACAGTTATCACCAACCTGTCAGTGATCGTGTCCAAGATCCCGCCACACAAATTTCGTTCAATTTGCAGAGAATTTACAAGGCCGTATCCCAGTCTCTGTGACCGACAAGTCACCGACCACTGCACGAACCAACCGAATATGTTAATTTTCACAGCTGTAGTTTAATAGGCTAAGGTGAAAATGGCATTTCCAACCCTAAGTCTTTTGGGGTATTATGTTCTGTATTTATTATGAATATACTTCAATGAACATTATTGTTATTACAAGATGGTTCCAGTCGTACTGTAATGTTGCTTCTTATAAATTATTGTTCGAATGTCTCCAACAGTTTAACAAACGCAGTTGGTTGTTGCGCTAACAAAGTTAAAATCAGATAGACTAATAATGTTTTCAAAAAGATGATCTTACCGGAGCTTGAAGTCAGGGTATACCATCCTGTTGGGGAATCCTTTCCTACAGATACGGATACCTTCAAGTACACCGTTACAGGTCAGCTGGTGCATCACCAAGTGTGAGTCGATGACACCGGGTTGTTTCAATTCATTTGGAATGATACAACGTACGAAGTGAGGTTGGGTGGACCTCAGGGTGGTCATCAAGTTGTTCAGTTGTTCCTGTGGATTGATAGGTTACTAAGTTACTTTAAACTTAATTTTATGAAATGCTGAGAAAAACATTGGAACCTAAAGTGTCTAATTTCCACTAGATTATTTAGTTTTTTGGAATCTTACTTCTCTGTGTTTGTTGACCAGCATTTTGTGATCGCCTGAACTCGTAGTGATAAATGTTTACTTAATACTATTAGCATGGACCTTGGCGTGGTGTGTTGTTTTATGAATTGATGAGTGCAGATTCTGTATTTTAGAAAAGGTTGGATCGGTAATTTATTTTGTTCTCTAATGTCATCATTCTGAATCAAAGGAGGTTAATCAGCTAAGATCGCAAAGGCATCGGAGTTTTCCTGATCCGTAGAATGCCAAAGCTCCGCTCATCTACTCAAGGAATTTATCATTTAATCTCAAGGATATCATTTCTTAACTGACAATATCCAGTCGCCATGCCGGAAACAAACAGAAGCTGTTGTCTAGACATAGATAAGTAGTTGAGGCATTTACAAGAGGTTTGAGTGGGAACAATAGACCTTGTAGAACATGGCTTTTGTTTCCCGTATAAGCACATACTATAAAGCTTCCTCTAGGATTATTTCATTGTTTTTCTCAGATTTGTTTTTGATGTAAGTGGATAGTATCTAGAATAGTAGTTATTTTATTAAGTGGATTAGTTGTTCAGTCAGCAGAGAGGGTAAAAAGCTAGCCTTAGTCAATTAGGCTTTTACGATTCGTTACAATAGAATACGTGTTAGTTAAAAACAAAATTCTGTCAGTTACTATTCAATAGACCGTAACGTATTGAAATGTTCAAGTATTTATTATTATCTAATACATCTAACCATTAGCAGGTGTGAGAATGACATGCAATCAAAATTTATAATAGGTTTCTTTGTCAATTGTTCATATGCGTAAGTAGTCATACAGGGCTAGTTTAGGATCATTTTGATACTCTCTCATTATTTGAAAATCCAAGATATTGAATAGCAACTGATATACCAACTAAACACATCTTACAAGAATCTGTTTTAGTACAGTTTTATATATCGTTTCAACACTAAACATACCATAACCTGTCAAAAGACAGGGTACGAACGTTTGCATTGGAAACGAGCATATCATCGTTTCTGCATATTTGACTTCACGAGTTTTTCTATTAATTATATACTGTTAAGTCTATGTTTTCATTTGTATTCTGTTTATTTCCAGTAGTACCTGGTACGACAAGTATACATACCGGTATGTACCACAACCGGTCATTTCACCAGCTCTGGTAGAAACAAGTATATAATAGTATAGGTATGTTTAGTGATAGTATATACAAACGCAAAATATACATACTTATTAGTTACAAAATCGAGATAGATGTGAAACCCATACTATGTCTTCAGGTATGGTGTTTTATCTACGTACTATACGTACTAGATTTGGTAGAAAGAGACATGAAACTAATATAAACTAATAGATAAAATTAGTCACAGGGTGATAAGACGATGTGAGCCATACTGGGTGCTCAGGTATGGTGTGACTGCTCCTTTAACCCGTGTTCAGGAGGAGTGTGCCATACAGGGTATTTAAGTATGGTAGAATTGCCATATCGCCACTGAAAGCAACTGTTTATAGATTATAAAGTAAACATTCTTTTGTTTTATAGAAACTATAAGTTGAGGATTCATACAAAACTAATAATTATTTTTAAATTGTGGAAGAACATTTAAATATGTCTTTCCTAACAAAGCTTATCCAATTTGAGACCCAAATGGTTTATGAAGTTTCCATGTTGAACAAGATGCATCTATGTTCACAGAAAAATAATTTTCTGCACCAAGGACTATGACTATATGGCAACTCTAAAAATAACAAATAATGTTCAAGTGTTTGACTTATTAGCACATCAGATTGGAGTTCCATCAACCGTATATGGTCTGTGTTGTGGTGGATTATCAAAACCAAGGAGAAAACCAACGATTTATCCCTTTTTTCGTAAACATACCTTGTAGGCTGACGATACAGTGGCGAAACCACCACCCTTTTTACCACGACCTATAGTTTAAAGCATTCGATTAAAGCATATGCGTATATACACTCTCAAGATAGGAGATAGTCCTGTTCATACGTAGCTTCAGTTCGAGAAAAAAATACACAAATTGCAATGCTTTTAGATATTTTCAAATATTTTAAACAATTAAGTCATCGTGTAAGTAAGTAGGGAGAGTGGGTAAAGTTTCTCGAACTATCTGCTGTCGTTACAAGACTAAATAAGGAAAGGAGAGAGTTTTGGGCAGGGTCTAACTTTCCAGCGAAATATACAGTACAGCCTATAAACCAAATTTACCCTATATAAACTGGATACAGTCTGGAAAGATGAACCTTTGGCTCTCTTGGCACCTAAATAGGCAAACTTGTTTAGAATATAGGTTTGATGATGACTAGTTTTAGATAATATGGAAGTATCATTATTGATTATTGGAATACTGATTACCTGCTGATAAAATTCATTAGTAGGCTAGTGGACAAAGTCGGCAGCTTTATTTATTGGAAATAATGGACAATTTGCAAGGTATTATTAGAAAATGGCTCATTTACTATTTGCTTAGATACTTGAAATACAAATCCTTATCACTGATTTATTCGAGAAATTTAAAAGCTTAAAATGTGTCGGAGCATTGGAGAATATTATAAATATAGAGGCTCCAAGTTGTACCCGAGTAAAAAAAAATTCATTATTCGTGAATTCTGGAACAGTTGAGCTCGAAGTGAGTAAACCATATTGCAAGAACAAAACTATCATACTTGAGATTATATACAGGGTTTGTCCGGAAAGTAATAGGACTCATTTTCTTCCGCCATGACTGTACTTCGGAGAGTGCGCGCACCGACTGGATTCGGTAGAGGGTGTTCCTAGCTAACGAATGAGCTACTGGTCAGTTGTCTCCGAGCACTTGGAGTGTCAGGACAGGCATTTTCGCGCGACGTATTTCTGTGAGTGGTGCAAGCCGAAAATGCAGCGTTCGTTAGAGCAGAGGTACGCGATTAAATTCTGTGTGAAACTCGGTAAATCTGCGACAGAGACGTTTGATACGATCAAGCAGGCTTACCCAGGTGTTGCTTTAGCAAGAAGTGGTGTGTTTCGGTGGCACCAGGCCTTTTTGGAGGGCCGGGAAGAGGTCGCTGATGAAGACCGTGCTGGAAGACCTTCGACTTCGACAAACACCGATAATGTGACTCGTGTGCGCAAAGTTTTGAACTCAGACCGTCGACTAAGTATTCGTTTAATTGCCCAGATATTAAATTTACCAAGATCTGAGGTTCATGACATTGTGACACAGCATTTGAACATGAGCAAGGTGTGCGCAAAGATGGTTCCAAAAGTGCTCACTGACGACCAGAAATTGCGGCGAGTGGAAGTGTGCCAAGAAAATTTGAACATGTGTGAAAGTGACCCCCAATTTTTGAATAACGTAATCACAGGTGACGAGTCGTGGATCTTTGACTATGATCCCGAGACAAAGAGGTAATCTTCCGAGTGGCACACGACGGCGTCTCCTCGCCCAGAAAAGGGAAGAATGAGCAAATCCAAAGTGAAAACGATGCTCATTGTCTTTTTTGACATCAAAGGCATTGTCCGCCATGAATTTGTTCCTCCTGGACAAACCGTCAACGCCAAGTGTTACGTGGAAGTGCTCAGGAGACCCAAAAGAAGGGTCAGTCGGTTCCGACAAGACATCGCAACCGACAGAAGGAGCCTAATTTGAAAGTTTTTAAAGAATTGTAACGATTGGCTCAATAAATTTTTTTAAATGGACTCAGTCCTATTACTTTCCGGACAAACCCTGTAAATATAGGAAAGTATCCACTAGACAATAGAATCAAGTGAATCTCCTGGTACAATTGATTATGGTATTTTATTTTGTAAAGCCAATCTGATCTAGACAAAGCTAGGTAAAACAAGAAGTGTCTCTCGGAATAGAAGGCTTTCCCTCCTTATCAGGGCCATTGATTAAGTAAGAACCGTTTTGTATTAGAGTCAGAGAAACTTTATTTATGAATGTAAATTGTTTCACAAACTTTAGTTTATTTTAATATAAATATTTTTCATTTTTTAACATAGTAAACCATTAGCATTTAAACGTTTGTCATCCCGTCATCAAAGAACGCTACTGCCTGACCGTTAACCCAGTCAGTAATTGTTTCTTTCGACATGTCATCAGTTTCGAAGCGCTTTTCACCAAGAGAGTAAGTTTTGGAAAAAAATAGTGCTGTCAGCCCAAGCGTTGCCCTCAAGCAGAATGATGATTTTGAATAGCGCGGCTAAGCTAAATTACCGGCAGGTTTACTGAGTGACGCAATCAACACCGACAAACACGTGAAACGTAATGGGGCCTTAGTAAAAGACTGACCAAGAGTGTCTGAGGTTGAAGGGACGCCACATGACAGGATGCGCGGGCACGATGAGAAATCGGTTCCTACTTTAAAAATGGCCTTCATATGTCACAATTAGATCAATTTTTTGTTAACAACGTACCTTTCTCAGCGGCGGCAGCTCCAGTCTGACCAGGATGATCAGAAAAGATCTCCTGCACAAGAGCATTGGTACCTTTCTTGAACAGATCGACAACAGTGTCGTTCAAGGGATCCTTGTTCTTTTCTAACCAACCGGTGATGTTGTATGGTACCTAGGTCAAAGCTCAACATCATATATGCTGCCTTATAAAAGTAACATAAAGTCGCTGAGTCATAACAAAAGCTTAATTGATTTTCAAGGTGACAACAAATATTAAATTCGTTTTTGGTATTTTTCAACCCAGAACCCATATCAAGATTTGACTTTTAAAAGTGAATATCATTCACATCACCATATAGTTGATTACTCAACAAAATATATGACTAGGAACTTCCTTCTTACATGCCATCTCTATTGTTTGCAACGCCAAATAATTGCTCCATCCTGAGGCTAAGTTCCTCAGCCAAAAGACCTTTGAAGTAGCTTTAATCAAACTTGAAGCTTATTCTAAAACTTGTCCCAGTTATGATAGACAACTAAATTTTCCAATCGAATCTTTCAAAAAGCAAACCTACTTTAGATTTTTTAGAAAATGATATGACTCAACTATAAAGCTATAAAGCACTTACGTTGCCGGCATAATGACCCAACGTGAAGTGAGCGGCTTGTTGACCTGGCTTAGGTGGTTTTGGTTTCTGGAAGTTGGGTGATTTGCCCAAGTGGTTGGTGTTCAACTTCTCCTCGAAAGTCTTGTCCGTAGCTTTGGGGAACATAGACTCTTCCTCAAGGATTGACAAGATACCCATAGGCTAGATGACAGAGTAATTGTGAGAAAACATAATAATGGTTCGTTCAATATGTTAGGATGTGCTCTAACATCCAAACTGTGCAAGGTTAATTGTGTTCTTTCGTGATTTATTTCTGTAGATTGATAACTAAAAATTAACTGACTGGTGTTAACCCAAATAATATTACAAAATTCTACAGAAATAAAACTAATGTAATTCTTCATTTTCGAATAAATATTGCAATTTTTAATGATAAGGAAACAGACAATAGGTATAATGCCTTTGAATGAGTAGTTAACTATTTTTCAAGGAATACTTTAAGCCCAGGTATAAAAACAACAATTACACTGGATTTGTCGATCATTTAATTTTATGATTGCCTAGTCAAAAACTCAAAAACAAAGAATTACGGATAATGATATATAACTTATGTTTGGCATATATGTTATGATAATTTGTTCATATAATGAAGTAAAAGGGGCCGTAATCTAGAGAAAATAGTCTAACAGACATTAATGTATCTTCTTGTCTCTCCATGGCCTATTGGAACCCGTTCGGTTAATAACTGATTTTGAAGAAATTTATGCGCAATTACATGCAATTTAAGAGGCAGCAATATTTTATATATTTAAAGACGATCTTCCATTATTTCACAAGTTGTGCAAAACATAAGTTATACCGTGTGGCCATGTTACCGTTATATACAATACCTTGTGCAGTGCTGAGGATACGGTGCAGATTTAGAATAAGGTACATGTGTTCTGTGCATATACTACTACGTGACGGGATAGCTTACTTTAATCTAAAGGTAGCCACACACGTTGATAATTCGGTCAAAACTTCAAAAAATAAGCCACTTACGTTCTTCAGAACTATAACATTCTTCAATTTATGTAGTTTACTAATTAAGGAGATGTCTTTAGTATGCTTCATTACCAGAACCACTGTTCTGTAACGGTCAAGTTGAAGAACTGTCTAAAAAGCTTAAAATTATTTTGTGTATTGTTGTTTGATTTTATTGGAATATTTCTATTAAATTTATGTGTGGCTACCTTAAGGGAGAAAAAGTATCTACAACAAATCTCGAGAAATACCTTCTCGATTAGATCGATACAAGGTTGTAAGTCGAGACCAAAGTCAATGAATGTCCATTTGAGGCCTTCTCTCTCATACTCTTCTTGTTCCAGAATGAACATATGATGGTTATAAAACTGTTGCAGTTTCTCATTCGTATAGTTTATGCACAGTTGGTTGAAGCTGTTGTACTGTAAGTAATAGGGTTAGCAAAAAAAGACACACCTACCTTCAGGGATAAAAGTATCTATACTATATCTAAAATATGCTAAATTGATGTATATATTACATAATTTTTTTCAGAGCAAAAATTCATTTCAATTTATCATGAATCACTTCAATGCTACATTTATAAGACGAGTTAAGGTAGTACTTAAGTTTGATCACACTTTTTACAAATGCCTGATATTTTTATGTTCAGTGTATTATGTTGACATTTGATTTTCGAAGTTTGAATGAAATCGAAAGTTTTGTACCTGAGATGGGGCTCCGATGTTTTGATAAATTTCATGGAGATGTTTGAAATACTGATCATATGAAACTTGAAGAACATTACTGCCAACTTTGAAAAAATTCATTGGTTAGTTCTTGAAATATTTTTTTTAAATTAGTACTTTTCGTGTTTTTGATGCGTTTCCATTTCATCCAATATTGTAAGGATATAGTTATAAAAATGTGTAAAAAATAGAAAGTATGGAACTTGAGAAGCATTATAATATTGATATAAAAATTGAAATTCATTCAGCATTTTTAAACATTTTACTGGAAAGTTGAATCCATTACTTCTACCTGGTAGAAACATAATAAAGACCAATTTCGTTCCTCTTAAGCATGCTGTGTGACCGTGGTTCTGCGCATCATTGTATTTCCAACTGTCGCGTTGGTAGCAACTTAGAGGTAAAGATATTCTAGTCTAGATACTCACATCCCTGTAATCTTGTCTTGTAAAAGTGTTTTGTATTGTAAGTGTTAGTTCTTATGACTATAGGGCAACGTAGTTTGCCTTTGTTGCTGTACCTTCTCAATAAGTTCGATACAGGCAGCTAAGTCCATACCAAAATCGATAAACGCCCATTCAATACCTTCCCTTTGGTACTCTTCTTGTTCAAGTACGAACATGTGGTGGTTAAAGAATTGTTGCAACTTTTCGTTTGTGAAGTTGATGCAAAGCTGTTCAAAGCTGTTGAACTAAGGGGAGACAGACACATAGGTGAACATTAACTAAGGGTACACGTGATTCTCTGCCCTGTCATGGCTGGAATCGAGGAAAGGTGGGCGACACATACATATACGTTACATGTTATGTTGAACGAAGTGCGTACTGAAAAATATACATGGCGTTTCATATTTTTTTTTTGTTTGTTCATGAGGAAAACATAGCACAGAGTGTCTGCATTTTTGATATAGGATATTGCAGTTTTGTTTTCCTTCAATATCTCGAAAAGTCAATTCTATTTAAAATAAATGAGTATAAGTCTTTCTGCAGTAGTACCTGTTACTTTTTTTAAATAATAAATCTACTTGTCCTTAGGCGACATCTTTTTTCACGCGTTACCTATTCTCGCAATTTTTCGCTTAACCATCATCATTTGAAACTGTAAAGGAAACAGGATGCAACATTCAAAAGTGTATTTCTCATTGAATTATGAGGCTATTTTTGGCCTATCCATCAGTCTGCATTGATTGTTTCTCCGTGAAATCTGAGTGAGGTATGACTCATTTGAACAAAAATCGTTGAGTGGAATATTCGATGATTATGATGGTTGACGATGTTACATTTTCAGACATATGTATAGAAAACAGCTTTTTTCAACGTTACCAGACTTTCGGAACGTTCTGCAGGGTTATCATCAACTATTTTTAGAAGGTCAATTATAAAAAAAAAATCATATTTCGCTTTAAACCTGTCCATAACCGGACTGTTAGGTAAAATTTCAGTCTTGTTTTCACATTATTTGCATTTAAGAATGCTCTAGTTGCTATAAGTTGATATTTATTTTTGGTTAATTGCTGCACCGAGAATTAAGGCATAGTAAAAATATTCTGAGGGTATAAGAAATAATATAATATTGAAAAATGAAGAGACACGAATAAAAAGCAATATATAGAAGAACTGCATCAAGCCTCGGTTTTCGTGTACGGTTTTCGACTATTATTGATTTCTAGTGTTAAAGGACCAGAAATAAAAAAACAGTCCTCTGCCTAGCATTGTTATTGAATGCTTAACAGATATCGACCTTACTTAAACAGAAAACTTCTGTCATTGTTCTGACATTAAACTATTTCCCTTATAACACGAAAAACAATTTATGCCACGCGATGCCATTACCGATGGTTTATGATCAATTTGCAGTTCACAATCTTCTGTTGAAGATTGGCTTGATAAAGCAACAGTTCTTTGTTATGTAGATACTTCAGCAATCGGTAGTTTTGTCAAATAACCATTTCCAGTACATACTTCTTTCAGTTACTCTACAAATACTTCACTTCTCTACAATACACATACATCTAACAGATACATAATACACAGAACGGCAACCCCAAACACCTGTCAACCGATGGAATGTCATTTACCTTCTCGATAAGCTCAATACAAGCAGCTAAATCCATGCCGAAATCAATAAACGTCCAGTCGATACCTTCGATTTTATACTCTTCTTGTTCGAGAACGAACATGTGGTGATTGAAAAACTGCTGTAGCTTTTCGTTTGTAAAGTTTATACACAGCTGTTCAAAGCCGTTGTACTAAACAAGACGAAACATGTTAATACACATAGATTTTTGACGACTACAATCTGTTAGTTTGCGATATACCTGTGCTGGTTAGAACAAACGTGCGAAGGGCTTTAAAGTGACTTTGATAATTGTTTGATGCACCTCTCATTTTTTGTATGTTCATCAAAAAGTGTCATACATTATAATCTGTAGTACCATACAAACAGACTTATAGCAATCAATCTGGTCTCGTTACGAATTTGGACATGACAACTAAACCAAGGAAACTTAAGTAAAATTGGGATTTCAAAGTTATCGATTCTAATTTAGGAATAAACGATTAGTAGTAATAAAAACATATCTACTCGTTTGATCACAGAAATTCATTTTACTTGTATACTGCGACACCGATTCACTTATGCGAAAGAGTGAAACAAATAATTCTAGGCGTGCATCAACAATTTTCCAGAACTTCAAACTTTACCTGAGCTATGCAGCAGCTGATCAGTGAGCGTTAATATTAAAGCTAAGCTAAAAAGCTAACCTTTTCTAAAAGCTCAATACAAGCAGCCAAGTCCATTCCAAAGTCAATGAACTCCCAGTGGATGCCCTCTCTGGTGTACTCCTCTTGCTCCAGCACAAACATGTGATGGTTGAAGAATTGTTGCAATTTTTCATTAGTAAAGTTAATGCAAAGCTGCTCAAAGCCGTTATACTGCAGTGAAAATAGATTGGTGAGTAAATAATGTGGCTAAAGCTATATATGAAGAAGCCCCGGTATTTAGGTGTCTGCCTACGTTGCTGCATCAATATAAAAAAGCATGAAAAATGTAAAATATCCCAATGTATTTTGTGTTAATTCAATCAATGATTGTGCCAGGTCTCCGGCAACATTGTCAGGACCAATATATGCGTCAAGATCTCATTATCTGTGTCAGAAACAAATGTACTAGCATGTAAGTTCCATTTTCCATGCCTTATCTTTGCAAAAGAGCAGAAACATACTGCATGAAGTATGTTAATATTGTAAATAATGGATGAACCCCAAAATGTCAACTGTGTTTGAGGTAAAAGAGTCTTGCATTTGTAGAGTTTGTATATAGTTCCACCATGAACAGGATTTCTTTGTATTCGGTTTGAGCTAGTGTTGGGATCAGATAGATCAATATCAAATTTTGAAAATTATTATATATTTAGATTGCCAGATAATAATACAAATCAGTACTCATAAAAACTTTACTGCACAATGTAAATATGTGATTGAAAGAGTACTTCCATGCCTTTTCTTTTGAGAATGATCATCATAAGTCTAATCAAAAGCGACACTTTTGTCAGAGACGAGAATGTGATATACACTTTCGTAACAAAGCTCATATTCAATGATTCAGGAACTTCTAAGTAACGCAGGAATCAATTGCTGTAACATCTGACATATTCAAAGCAAGATTATTTAAAGGAAGCTTATCAAATTCATTGTGACGTAATATGATTATTTGATCCCAGTCCTAGTCTTGACACTTCTGCTATACTTACGTCGAAAATTTCAAACCCGGCAATATCCAGTACACCAATGAAGTGCTGTCTTTTCTGTTTAGTGTCCAAGGTCTCGTTACATTTCTTTACCAAGAATTTGAACAGCCTATCGAAGACTGCTTTGGACATAGCGCCCACCGAGTAGTTGACCTGGTTGACGTTACGGCCCTGGGTGACGAATTCGTTACCTACTTTGATCCTGGGCTTGACAAAAGCAGTGTACAAGGAGGCAGCGTCAACGCCCAACAGTTTGCCTACACGTTCACCATCCTGTAAGTCAGACAATCGTAACAATAATGAATAAAATTATGAAGATTATCACCAATATATACCCTGATGTAATCTTAGGGTAACTACTGAATTGAACGTGATCTACTTAGGTGTTTTTAAAATGGAAAAAATATTGTTCCAAAGAAAAACCTACCTCAAGACCGTCGGCTTCAGCCTGTTCTTCACGACCTCTTTGCTTGAACTTCATGGTACCCATATGCATAACAGCGGCTGTAATCTTGTATACATTCTCTTTTTCTTCTGGTGTGAAACCAAGGATGTCGAAGGCTTCCTATAATTCATATTTTACATATTGAAGAATATCTTTAGGGGGCGAATAACTGACGCATGATATATACAGCATAGTTTCACTTACCCGTGTTAGTATTTGAAAATGGAACAATACCCAAGCTAGAACTAGAAGATGTACGTTCAGATCGTGCGTTAAGTCAACAGTAAGGGAGTTGGACAGTCACAGTGTTTGCTAAATAAAAGAATACGTTTTGACATGAAACAGAGAGCGGGTAGTTATGTTTCATTTAAAAAAAAATTGTTAAAATGTGTAAAAAGGGGGACTGGAACAACTTGATGAACACCTCTCGGAAATTGTTATGCTATCTATTTGTTTCCTTCATCATTAGAATTCATAGACGAAATATCAAATTGGTAAACTCCGAAGGAAGTCTGGATCAGAACAAGTTATTGTGTAGAAGCACTTGAAAATAGAAAATAATTAATAATGTTTTCAATTTATTCCTGTAATCGAGCTGTCTGACATTCTGATAACGAGTTAGGGAAAAGATGGACTTTTGTAACTTCAACGTAACATGCTCAGCAAGACGAAAATGGACAGTACAGACAGAACATTCACCGGACAAAAAAAATCTATTATGTTTTGGACAGACAGTACAGTATACTCCAGTGTATTGCTACTCACGTTGGTTAACCGAAATTCTTCTGCATCATCTACATTTGGAATAGTGATTTTTCCTTGCGACACTGAGTGATAGTCGTAGATGTCATTGGAAAGCAAGCAAGCCTCTGAGTGATAGAAATATAATGATTATTTACAAATGAGGCTAAAGATATATACATTATACGGGATAGCCCGTAAACATTATCTGATTCAATTTGAACCCAGAGTTTTTGAGTTTTCAATGATTTGAGAAATATTACTTTAATTACCATGTTGTGCTTAATTGTAATTAATGTATTTTACATACTTTAGGAGCTACATGTATATACAGCGCGGATGACTTTCCGTAGAATGTCTCGTCAACGGTCAACTGTCAAGTCTTTGATCGTACATTACATGCAACATCAGGGAGCGGGCTATGCCTGGTTTCCTTGTGCCAATTGTTTCTAAAGATAATTTCATTTTGCATACGTCCTGCTCCCTGAGCAAGGCTGCAAACAACTCATTGCTTACGTCAGTATCGACTGCTTCTGAGCTGTCGTTTATTCCTGGTATTCTGGTTTTACCTTGCGATATGGTGGGATAATCACCAACACGATTACTTAACATACACAAATCTAGAACCAGACAAAATCATGATACTATACCGCTGAAGATATGCTTTGTTTCTTCATTTCTCATAGTCTGCTAAAATGAAGACGCCTTCTGCGCTATATTTTGGGATTTCCTTTAATATATATAATTTTAATTATTTGTTGAAGGATAGCGTTAAAACTTACAGAGCTTTTAGCTATACGCAACTTCTATTTTCAACTTCCCTTCCATAGAAGGACCAGTTGCGTCGGAAATCTCAAAAAATGCCTTTTGCTCCATCAAATTTGGTTTATTCTCTTTTATCTGCATTTTGCCTAAATTTAAATCCTCCAATATTATTTTGGTTTTCTCCAATTGTGTTCTCCAAAATGGTGTTGACCTTGTACCATAGGTGTTCTACAAGAAGCATATCTTCCTGGTAACAGTATCATGATACAATAAATTAATACGTTGAACAAGGCATAGCCGCTGACCTGTATAAGTTAGTAAGGATATGGGGGAGAGTTAGCACCATATAGAGTTAGGAGAGACAATAGAGCAGTGAAGAAAAGAGTGGCCTGATGAAAAGGCACTTACATCGGTGATTTTGAATTCTTCACCATCATCTACATTAGGAATAGTAGTTTTTCCTTGAGACACAAAGTTGTAGTCATTGACGTTGTTGGACAACAAACACTTCTCTGTACAAGGGAAAGGAAAAAAACATTTAGGATCTATGTACTTCAAATTCACACTATCACAACAGACTACACCTCAACACATGTTCGAAGCAACTGATCTATTTTGAATTTTAGCACAGACTACAAATGTCTTCTAATAAGTATTATGCTACAAATGTTGATATAAAGATTTAATACATTACCTAATATCGTGAACAAATAATATACCTACTATAGTTAAGTGCCAAAACTTTTCCGAAATATCTGACATACAGTTGCTGCTTTTCGAACATATGTTAGAGGGCAAAAAGGGGTTTAAGACACTCGACGGGTATATAAGGCTTGTTGGTCTTCCAAAGGTCACTATAGTCAAGTTGTCGACCTAAGTACTGCAAAATAACTACGGTTCGCACAGCAAAATTGACACCATGGTGCGTTGGAGCACCCTCTTACATCTGTCAATTTAAATTCTTCACCGTCATCAACGTTGGGAATCGTAGTTTTTCCTTGGGCTACGTAGTTATAGTCGTGGACGTCATTTGACAGACAACACTTCTCTATAGACATACAAAACAACCAAATTTTGAAACCAAAAATCACAATGCAAATTATAAATGTGTATTTTGAGTGTCTGTCTGTGGCATTGTAGCTCCCAAACGGATGGACCGATTTTGTTTTTATTTCTTTTGTCTCAAAAGTAATTTGATCGAAAGCGTTCTTAACTATGATTCAATAAAATCTGTTCAGCCGTTTGAAAATTTTGAGGTAAGTGTTTTTCTTAATCTCCAGTTTAAGTTTTTGATCTGCATATATTATGTAAAAAAGAACTATTCAATAGACTCTCCTAATTTATGAAAAAATTATTTAATAGGATAAAACTAAAGGTAAGGTTTTTGTAAAAAAATGTAATAAAAACCCCATTAAAAAATAAAGGCTCTGGGAATTTGTAAAATACTTTTAAATAAAACTTTGTTGATCTGGCCTACTTCTCCCATCTTGTAATATATCTGAAAAGTTCTTAGAGCTTTAAAAGCATCCAGGCCTGAGAAGTTGACTGAACATGTAAGTGAAAGAAATAATCAGTTCTCGTGGCTTCACTTAAGAAGAAGTTCCACCTATATGTGTAGGTGGCCATTTTGAATTTATGTCGAGGGATAATATCAACAATGTTCGGCGAATGAGTGTCTAAAAAGCTCCCCCTGTCTGGGAACGTCAAGGTAGCGTTGTCAATGATTCAGAGAGGATTGCCAAATAGTCTAGCCACATAATAGCAATAGCCAGCCGCATCGTTTACCTCATTTTCGTCGTTTCAAAATGTAAAACGAAGAAAAACAAAAGGAAGAAACTTTGAATACATCCTTTTATCTCTAATTTAGGCTGAATCGGATTTTTTTAAAATGTCGCGAAGACATCGAGGACATATTTTACAAATGTCTCACTGACATGACTCAGTCACAAGCATTTCCAGAGGTGTTGCCTGGCAATGTGCTTCATTAGCGATGTGTTGACCATTTTGTTGGTATCTCAGAGCCGTCAAGATGGTCGCCAGGTCAAAGAGCTTCCGTATACTTGAGAAGAATAGTCTGGCTACGGATCCTAGCGACTTCGCTATGACATCCCGGTGAGGGAGGGCTCTAACTTCTTTATCGAACTATGTTGAGTGACAATTTTGCGTAATACAAATCGCGGGCATAAACGGAAACTATAAAAAATAAACAAATGTATAATATATGTTGTATACCTTTAACTCCAGGTACGGATCCAGACATGAGTTGGTAGAAAATGTGGTAGGATCTTTCCAGGGTTTGTTGAGAGATGACACGGGCCTTCTCCAGCAGATCTGAAATAAGAGTAAAATGAAAGCTTCCGTTTTGGAATGTCAGAGAGAATTCAACTTACATGTTTCAATATCAGCACCAGCCAGTTTACCAGTTGGACCGAAGTGGATACGGATGAATTTACCCTAATCAACATGGAAAAAATCAATTTCGATCTAATCAAATCAGTGATCATAACATCATAATGAGATATTGGAATTAGAATTGCAGGCAGTGTTTGAATGACCATTTTCAGGAGATCAAGTAGTTTATCATCTTTGCTATTTTTACTGTGTGTCCATAATATGCTGCAAAAGTTCTAGCGGGGATTTTCTGGCCAGTTCAGCGGTACCACGCTTTAATGTTGGATAGCAGTAACCTGGAATAGTTTTGTGCGAGACAAGTGAAAACTGCTGTCAAACTGACAAAGCTACTGCTATTCAGCATAAAAGCACTCCATCGTTGTAGTGTTTTACGTTGTCTGAACGCGCTCATTGAGAAGGTGTTGACGTACCCAATGATCGTAGTTTGTTTCTGTTAAACATTTGTTAACAACTATACTTAAATTACTGGATGTAACTCAACAAGAAATGACAAGATGCACTCAAAATAGTGCGCTAGTCTATGATAAGGAATCATTTAACACAGCTTTTGTACAATAAAACAAAATTGTTATTCAGATATACTAAAGTACCAGTAATGCAACAGGAACCGTCAAGAATATATCAGCGAATGCGAATATTCGTAACATCACTATCACGTAGAACAATATCATCCTTCAATTCCACTATAACTGATTATTTTTCGAATAAAAATATCATGCAAAATCAAATAGAGACCTCATGAAAATGTGATTTTGATACAGTTTTTTATGAGTAGGAAAATTGTCGAACTTTATTTCCTTCTTGACGTTGTTGTTTGTTTAAAGTGAGGTAGTGTCATAAATTGAGTGTTTAACACAGTAAGTGATATTCTCTTTAAGGAAAATGAATACTGACGAAACAACTCTGCAATCCTAATCACTGTATTCAAAATGACCATATAAAACGAGTGATCTTGAAAAACACTTACGAAACGGGAAGAGTTGTCGTTTCGCACAGTCTTGGCGTTACCGAAAGCTTCAAGTACAGGGTTAGTCTGTACGACCTGATCTTCAAGATTGGCTTTCTTCTCAGTTTCCCCTTTCTTTGATGATGCACCGACGGTGGCGAAGTACGCGATTACTTTCTTCGTGTTTTCAGTTTTACCGGCACCAGACTCACCACTGTTGGGCAAACAGACGAAAATTAACTTTGAAAATTTGAACGGAAGAATGATTCGAAGTTCGAAAGTTGTTAGGTATTAATCTATGAATATTCAGTATTTGTAAATTTGAAGTTTTGTATTATCCAGAAAACCAGGATGTTCGATTATATTATGAATGCTGGTGGATGTGCGTCAAAATCAGACACATTGCTAATTTTGTTGAATGCTCCTAGTGCCAGGTCCGATTTTCAAAGGGGGCAGAAGGTAAATCGAATCGGGATTTAAAGTTGTAGATCGAGACAATAAACAGGGTTTCTTTGAATTAAGGGTTACTTTAATGTGTTTAGCAGCTAATATGCATGTACACGGCTTATAAGTTTAAATAATTAATTTTTTAATAAAATAATTTTTGCGTTAGATTTGGATGCCTTATTTTTTATAAAATTCACTCTCAAACTGTAACGCCTCTCAGTCCAAATTGAGTTAGCCTGGAAAAATCTTGATTACTATTTCAGATTTACCGTTATGCATTATCCAGTAAAAAAATAAATGTGGAAAAAGGCTATTTATGACGTCTTTTTGTAATTACAAATTAACCGCTACTGCAAATTGGCTGTGTAAGGTCTTATTTTGAGGGTATAATCCACTACAATTTGCTTTGGACCATTTACACCAATAATTCATACAATTCAAATATACGCAAAAAAGTCATTTTTCCAACTTTTATCACTTAATGAATAAGTAAGCCAGCATTTTTTTTTTTTTTTGTACTCTCGATGAGAAGCCTTCTCATATACCCTCAAGAATATAATTTCTCAGTAACACCGCTTATTACTTTTTTTTTTTGAAAGATGGTCGATTTTTGGCTAGTCAGCTTGGTCTAGTAGTCAGAACGTCGAATTGGAGTATGTTAAAAGGAAGTCGAAGTTCACCAACATCCATTATCCGGTTTAAATTCAGTGTGTAGAGTAATCTTTAGATAAATCTTATATCCAAGTGCCCCTTTTGATTTCAATACTTACGTAATCAACATAGATTGATTTTCGTGGTCTGTAAAGAAAAAGAATAAATATATTAGCAATATTTTAAGCTTAGCGTGATCTTTGGCAATAAAATAGAACAGGTTGTTAGCTTCTGAGAATTAGTAGTAATGCGGAAGTTATATTAGACAATTGATACTCAAATAAGTGAAGTTTGCTGTCCATTGTTCAGTAATAAAATGATGTTTTGAGAAAGTTGAGGCTTTCAATAAAATTATGCAGGATGTATGGTGATATTTTGATAAGAGTTGATCGAGTCAATCTTATCGAGTCATCATCACGTGTAGATTTTCACTCTCTCTGTTTGATCCTACGATTGTGTATACACAAATACATAGTACATTAGTGTACCTTCCATATTGTCAGAAGTCATCGATGCCATTATGTAAATTTTAATTTCTGGATGGATTTAATTTTAGTTACTTTGCGAGTATCATTGGTGTATGATCCCGCGTCTATTGCAATTCGCAAAAAATGAAGAATCAGAAGACAAATATTCTGCAACATTGTTTGCATGTAAATGTGTAGTTGATAAATAGGATACTTACTGGTTAACATGTTGACGTAGGCCCCGTCAGAAATGGCGAAAATGTGTGGTGGGACTTCGTTACGCCTCTTACCGCGATACAACTTGGCGCATCTGTTCGTGTATACGGGGAAGCGTTTGTAGGGGTTGATGGCCACACAGAAAAGACCGGAGTAGGTCTGGAATGAACATCAAACAAAAGTTGAAGAGCTTGCTCCAAACTCATGTTTCTTCAACAGACTATAAAATTATATAGTCAAAGATCCGGCCGCTTGAATCTGCAGGTATCTATTTTTGATAAAACTTAATTTTTATGAATGATGAATAATAGAAGACTACAGCAGGGTTTCGTTTGAGTCACCAAGTAGTTATGAATCATCCTGTAGATATAAAAGTATTTTCTAAGCGAGAAACATGCTGTTGGCTACATTTTTGTAATCGTCTTTTTTAAATACTACGTGCAATAACAGACTTATCGACCGAGCTCTCACTGAAAACTCGCCCCTGTATTTTTCCCTACTGTAATCTTTTCCACTGTTATTTATCAGTCGTAAGAATTAAGTTTTATTAAAGAAATAGATACTTGCAGATTCAAAAGGCCGGATCTCGTAACAATAGGACCGTTCATCTTTAAGCTTTAGACTTGGTGATTCAACCTAGGATCCTGTCCTAGCAAGCGTCTATAGCAAGCGTCTATTGAAATTTTGTGGTAACTAGATTTTCTAACGGTCCCATTATTTTTATCCTCTTGGCACTTTTAGATTATGTAATATGTGGTAACCAGAACGATCAATGTAATGGTACCATCGACAGACTTGTAGTACATTCTAGATATCTAGAAAATACTTCTAACAAAAAAAAAAGATTATAGCCGATGATGATGTTTAATCTATTTTATCAGAACATAACACAAGTCTGTCTGCTATGCGAATGATGCATTATTTACAAGACAAAAATATCAGATATAAATAAAATCATGTGAAAAATGCTTCTACAACATATCATTGCTAATAAAAATTGCAAGCATATATTCATCCTTTCAAAGAAGATGCAGGCTCTATAACCGAACAAAAACTAGTGATAGAAGCATTTTTTATAAAATCCAAAGCACTTAAACTATGGTCACAATTAGCAGTACAATGGAGAAGTACTGGGTTGTACTGCTGGCTGCTACAAATAACACAATTATTGTATGTTCAAAGTAATGTTGAACAAAACATATGAATACAAACACCTCATATTGTCGGTATGTATGAGGTTTTAGCGCTGTGTACGTTGTGATCGCACGAGCTAAACATTGGTCAAATGAAGTATCTTGGTTGTATGACTGAAGTATTGCTTGTGTGCATAAAATATATACTCGTATGTGTAGGTTGCTAATAACACAAACACTTCGGACCAAATATAATTCCTTACTGACTTTTGATGTCAAATACATCTAACAGAAAAGTTTTCTCGATAGTGTGTTTATGATATCAGACAACAGAAAAATAATTAATATTAGTACTTGCGAATTTTATATCCTGAAATGTATATTATAAACAAAATTTCAAAACTACTGAATTAACGAGTGAGAGCACATGTGAGACTTGAAATATTCATACGGAAACTAAATGCTTTTTATAAGCATGTTTGCAACCAAACTGTTTTGTTAGTTGAAAGTTCATTTCATGCACGCATTCAATAATTTCGTAACGTGTGTGAAGTATTTGTATGTGCAGTGTGTGATATCCTTTTAAAACGTTCTGTGTATAAAAATGCAGTCGATCCACTTATGTTTGCCTTGACGGAGTTTATTCCGGTTGTCCAAGGGCAAAACAGGCACTCCAATCCACGAGAATCCAAAACTGCTCATCCGTACTGCATGTTGAAGTTGGCTCACAAAAATTAAAACTCCATTTTGAATTTAATTATAAAAAAATCCATCTACAAGGTACTCAATGCCATGATGCTGGTCATGAGACACATGTAAAATTTTTTGTAATAGTACTAATACAGTCGATGAGATTTTAACCAAAGAATAGACAAAGTCATAGGGAGGATTACATTTTACACTAAGGCAGTTGAAAGTATGTATTCTACATTTAAAATAACCTTCCATCTACCAAAGAGCAGCTTATTTCTGCTGGTCGTAGTCCAGATCTCCGAGGACTTGATTTGGCACGAACACATCTCGTCAATAGCGACAAGTACTGAGGAAAAAGATAGGCTATTTTTTTAGGGCTAAGAAGTACTTTTCTCCAAGTAACCTCCTCACTCTGTATAAGGTCCAAATATGACCTAGCCTTAAATAGTGCTCCCGCCCCGACTACATCATCCCTACTCGATTATGTTCAAAGGAGGGCTGTCCGACTGATCGATGACTCTTTTATAATGGACAGTCTTGACCCTTTTGCATCGACGGATCGTCGGCGATCAAAAATCGGATTAACAAAGTTTCTTTAAGCTCATCATAGCTCTTCCGGCTGATGTCAACAGGAGAAAACTGATCTAGGCGGAAAAGTAGAATTTAGCTGTTTCTCAATTTTTATTCGAAATAAGACTATTGTTGGCATCTCATATTTTTTTTGTACTGAATGACCAGTTGATGGATTTAAATCATCCCCATACTTTGAAGGTTGCAATTATTTGACAAAAGTGAGCATGACCATCAACATGCATGTTCCTGGTGTTGGTACGATGAGCAGTTTCCAGCGCACAACTTCGACAACTTACATAAATAAGTTTGGCATAGTAACGCTGCTTCAAGTTATGTAATACTGAAGCGTCATTCAGATATGTCAAATTGGACATATCCTCGGCCTTCTCGTACTTGGGCGGGTTTACTTGAGTCACTTGTTCCTTTTTGAAGTTCTTTTCCTATAGAAAGGTAAGACAGTCGGTTAGTAATTGTTGTTGTGGTACTTACGTAGATCAGCTTAGCGTAGTACCGCTGTTTCAGATTGTGCAATACAGCGGCGTCGTTGAGGTATGTCAAATCAGCCATATCTTCCACTTTTTCGTACTTGGGAGGGTTCACTTGGTATACATTGTCCTTTTTGAAGGTTTTCTCCTATTCTCATAAAAACAGGTTAATACCATGTGACAACTCCATATCATTATGTAAAAGTATTTACTGGATCTAATGGGAAAATAACGGACTCACATATAAAGTTAAATAAGTTAATATTGAGAAACTTGAACAAGAAAAGCATGGTAATACCGAGTTCAGGCGGTATACACATGTAAGGAGACAAAGTGATGGTATAGATTGTATATGAACGCTCTGAAAAGAGGCAAGTCAAATAGAAAAAATCTGCAAATTGTCTCTTTCAAGAATTTGATCGAAGCACATGTAAAGTTGAAGTAGCGAACGTTGTGGATAATAAATAAGAAAAGTCAAAGAAAATACATGAATCGTGTACAAAATTTTATAAAAGGGCAAAAGGGATTAAAATAGATTAAACCTAGATTGGCAGAACCAATACCTTCCGATAGAATTGGCCAATTTTGGAAGCACAGAAAATGGATTTAAAGAAAGCAAACCCATCTACGAATATAATCACTGATTAACGTATTCTACCTGAAGATTGCCAATCGTTTAGTATATTCCGCAACTGAGATAAAATGAGATACCGTGCATCATCTATGACAATTTGTTACAACTATGTTTCTTATCTCCCCAATAATGAAAATCCTGCTTTTTAACGATTAGTATCTCATATATGTCAACTTCATGACCATGTATGAAGGTATCTTAGCCTCTTAGGACATTAGAATGAAATTCTGGAGGCACCCAGAAATGCGAATGATGTTTTCTAGTTATCTTTTTATCATCCTCGTATAGATGTGTTTACCTCTCCTCCAGGAATAGCGACGGTGACGAGGTCGCCCTTGGTGCCCTTAATCTCTCCAAGCACGAAGCCTTCCTTGTCGTCCGGTACCCAGCATGATTTCTTGGCATCATAGGGCTTGGTCTGGTCGATGCGTTTCTGTTCGAGCGATACGAACAGGTATGGGGTTGGATCGGGTTCCTCATCATCGGCTGCTGGTTTTTTCGGCATGGTGTACGGCGGACTTGTAAGGGGCTAACGAGACACGTAATACAGCCCTGGAGCCTTCCTGCAACAACAAATAATACTCATTAGTATATCAAAGTTTGTATAAAACATAAACAGTGTTAAATATACTGTGTACAATTTCAGGAGCCCCACTGACGTAACTCTCATCTTTCAGTGTCGAACTTGACCACCAAAGTTGCAAACGAATTGAGGTACTAACATAAACCAGTCAAGAGTTTTTTTGCTGAATAGCCATGGAATGACTTTGACGGTTCCCAATATGTAATCAACAAACTATCAAATCTGGCAGTCAAGTGAAACCTGCTGTCAAACTGACGAAGATATCTCATGCCAATTGCTATTCACCGCTGAACACGCTTTATGTTGGCTGAACGCACTCAATATTTATGCAATGTAGAATTTGAAATTTATTGTGTAGTTTTCATGTTCATAGGACTCCATTGGCTGAATCAAACCGCACATATGTTTCAATTTCTCTTTATTGTACGACGTTTCGGCTACCTTTTTCAAGTACAATGGGAATTAATGACGGTGTATTTTTTTTTATCTGTCTCCTTTCTTTCATTCCTACTCAATGTGCTATGACAATGAAAGTAAATTAAAAATAAAAGAAAAAATGAACCTGGGAAGACATACAATAAACAAAAGTATCCTGTCATTAATTGTGTTATTGTACTTGAAAAAGGCCACCGCACCGTGGTGACGGAAACTTCATATATGGCAAAGAGAAACTAAACACATATGTGGTTTAATTCGACCAGACAATGGAGTCCTATGTAGCTATGTAACTTTTTACTAACGTTTAGACCAAAGTACGATTCCAAAAAAAATCAACCAGCCGTAACGTTAGTGACCTATTAGATTTTAGGTTATGAATCTTTGTAATTTGTTACACCTAAAATGATATTAAAAACTACCGGACGATTTATTGTCTGAATTCAATAAAAAATGCTATTCGACATTGAATTGTGAGAATTCTTATACAGTATGATCTTTAATGTGAATGCCAAAAAGCAATCCTGAATTGAGAACATGGAAATAATGGTTTTGAGCCAAATACGTCTTGCTAAAGGGGTTTCTGAGAATGAAAAATACGAATTAAATCTGGGATTTCTTTTTGGAGCATTCATGGCGGACCACATTGTATACTTTAAGGAAGGTACAAGTAGTAGCAGCACCGAGTAGTGATCTGTGACGTTTCTCGAGGTAAGAAGAATAATTTTTAATTTGAGAGGCATGCATAAGGGAGGTAATTTTTCAATAATTGTGGGCTGGAGAGCCTAAGGGCTTGTCTGTCGCCTTCATCGTATGGTAGGTAGCGATCGTCAGATTTTCACCTACTTGCTCACATTTTTTTTTTGATCAATGGTAAGTAGAACATTTCTACTTACTACTAGAATCGTCGCCATTTAGCGATCACCTGGTGACTGGACTCCGATCCGCGGACTAAGATATGTATAGTCCCAACCGGTAGGTTGCGAATCACTGTTTGCAGTGATCGATTCTAGTGGTAAATGGCGCTTCGCATTGTCGTTTTTCGATCGATTACACACTTTTGATAGTGCATAGTTGCTATGCTTTCGTTCGTTGTCCGAAAGACTCAAGCCTGGACCATGCTGAGGAATAACCAAAAAGCACTTTTTGCGATTCATAAATTTGTATCAGCAAATTCACGTCATTTACGTCTGCTCGGCAGGGTGGTCGTGTCTCGGCGTATTCAGGGTGTCTTGCTAATCTTGCTACATGTTTTGTGAAATATAAGCTATGTTGACCATTAATATATGTTTTTGAAGCCCCCTCCGTTCTTCAATTCCCACAAGGGCATTCGCTCACAAAAGCACTGATACAGCAGATGACCCCCCCGTTATTCAATTTTCAACTGACATTCAGTCTTCATGAACATGAATCCTGAAGCCCCAAAAACTTATGGATACGCCAGTAATGGGGTCACAGTATATTTTTGAAAATCGGTTATTCGTGGTTGTGCTAGCACTGCTGTTTCAAAGATTCCAAACATTCGAGAATTAGGTTTATACATCGAGACAACATATTGCTGAACCCAAAAATATGAGGGAACATAATTGAATTCGGTAGAAGAGACAAACCGGCTAAACTGAGTAAATCCTACTTATCTTTTACAAAAAAACGATGATTCAGTTATATCGTTGCTCCTCAATATCGTAAAGCTTCCGGAATCAAATATTATATCCAGATATTTCATTCTGAACTGTAAAATCAAATGTCTAAACCATCGTTTTGCTAATAAATCTCAAATATAATTTTAATTTCTTGCTACGATACTCATGGAACTTATGTCCTTCAATCAATGTTATGAGGTTCCAAGATCGTTCTTGGTGTGTCAACGCCTCTTAACTCGTTTGACATGGCTGAAGAGCCGTTCTTACCCAACCCCTGGGTGATTTAAAATCGGAAACGAGGAAGTGCCAATATGTCGAGAAATAAGATACTTTGAAGTCGAGATTAACAAGACGATGTCAGCAAGATCTGACATCAACGCACTTGCGGTGTTGAACCCCATAATGGATGGAAACCAAATGTCGACGTTGATGTGAAAGTGCGAATAATTGACGGGTGCCTTGTTTTCATTTTGCATTTTATGCAACTTCTACCAAGGATAAGTAGGACAGGCTTGAATTCCCTCGAGGTCTGCTTGAAGAAAGCCTATGAGGTTGTATCGTCTTCCATCAAAACAACTTTAGGAAATGGTTGGCAAGGATACCCACCATATCAGGGTAGCAAACTGGTAACAGAAAATACTAGTGAAGTTACAGGAACAATCACTTCCGCTTAGCCCTTCAGCAGCCAGGGTATTAAAGAAGTGCACAACACAATGTCTTGCAACCCTCCACAAGTGCTGGAGGTGAATCTTTTCCGGCCTTAGCTCCCCTCTCTACCCTTAAAGGGGGTTTTATAAAGCTACGCGAGCAAGGCAAATCTGATGGTAGCCCGCCTTAACGGCCATCGGATGCTCGCACAAATGCAATGCTCGCTCTTGCCAGATATCTGGCATAAATAAATTAGTACTGCTCTCTCTACTCAACAACTGCAAATAGCCACCCTACTTCCGGCATATTTATCAACACAACTTGCTAATAGATTGACAAGCTTCTCATTTCGAATATATAGCCGATTGACCACCTAGACAAGTGTTTATAGCAAAGGCGGTAAAATGTTACAATGCAAAAAATATCTCAAACTATAAACAAATTAGGTCATGAGTAAGAATGATCTTAGTCTGAAATAAGCTTTTGATCTCTGATATGTAGGTAGCCGATCTACCACCTACGTAGATAGTCGTTTGCAGCAAAAACCGTAGGCTATCACAATCCATTGCGTAAAAAATATCTCGAACTATAAACAGAGCAGGTCGACCTTATTAATCACAGCAAGCTTTGGATTCGGTCAACATATACATGTGTTGCGATCTTACGCGCGCGCCAGCTATTTTTGAACAGTTTATTTTCGGACCAAGAATGTATGGTAAACCAAACAAAATCTCGTCTGAAAATTGAATCGCTATCCAAACGCAGAGAAATAATCCACAAAATGCTGTCATTTATTTGGCAAGATTTCGAACTATGGTTATAGAATTGTTACATAATCGTACATGGCACATATGTATTATGCATACGTTTGGCTAGACTCGTAGCGCCAAGATATTTCTGTCTTTTTAGAATCTGTACATATTTCGTAGACAACTTGGCCATAGAATGCTTAGTCTTGGTACAATATTTAGTTTGGTAATTATTCCAAAAACGTCATTCTCACCAGAGCCCTAGAGCTTTTGTTTGAAGATCTACCTTCCATTAATAAGAAAATCAATTGAATTAGTCAGTGCAAAAGCTTGGTAAGTCCCACAATTTGAATTTTTCAGGAAACTATAAAAATAGGGTCACTGACAAATAAACCAGTATTAAAATATTTTTTTGGTTTTTATGATGTATTTGAGCTCTAAAAGTTTGTAATTTCGTATAACCGTCACAGTTTATTAATAATAAAGGAAAAATCCCGAAAAACGACTTACATATGGATTCATTAACATACCACATTTTGCATGTTCTAATATTTTTAAGGCAGAAAAGTGAAACTCTAGCAAAGCGAACACCGAAAATGCGAATTATCCGTATAGATACATTTAAACTCGTGAAAAATACGTAGAATTATTCGTTCAACTTTCTTCAATAATGGGTTGTAGATGAACCGACGAGCTTATTTGGTTATCAGGTAACAAAACGTATTTTTCCAACAAAAAAATTGATTGTTGCAAGATGTGTTGTGCATGTAAATCTTTATATTATCTATACGAATAGCTATTTAAAATATTCAACGTATTTTTTCAGGACCTTCAGTCATACAAATGAGGAAGATTGAGTAGTTTTCGTAGGAAAGAAGAAAACTCTTAAACAAATAATTTCAGCCAAAGCGTATAAGGCCTGTAATTTTAATTTCATGATTAGTGAAGTGAAAATTTAAACTTTGGTGCACATAGCTCATAAATATGAAAATAACACAATACAGGGATACTGGTCCCACACTTACGATCTTTGACCACTGACCGTGTATTAGGCGGTATTTGAATGGGAAGGAATGTATTGACTTGCGAGGTGTATACGCAGAATTCGCATGTACCTTAGATGAAGCGTTTTCAGTAAAAAAAGCATGTAGGTAAAAAATGAACAGTAGTTTTTGGAATGATCGATTGAAGTCTGTGAGCGCGTTAGCCTTCTATGGCTGATGTAAGGGTAAATTCACTTAATTTTCTTTTATAGCTTGTATCAGCCGATTATCCAGCCCTGAATAGCCAATTTGGAGGGCGTTCAAGGACCTAATTAAGCCTGAGTGCTATGATCTTAGTTATCTACCCTTCAAAATACACCAAAACAGTACAAGGGAGAGGGCTATAACTAGTTCAATGCCAGTAAAAAGTCCCTAGCCAATATTAGTAATTTTGAATATCAATTGATTATTTATCTAGGCAATGTTTGACAACAGTTAATTCATAAAATTAATGGACCTGATAAGCATCAATACAGGGCTCGTTTTCAAGAGTCTGTATAAGTCGTGCCCGTTGAAAAACCCAAGCTAAATTTTAATCAGTATTGCCAACTTCTAGAAAACAGAAAGCTTGAATATAGAAAAGCAGTACTGCAATTCCTTTAAGCGATGTCCCAAGATCTTCAGAAAGATAAGGATCAATTACGTTGCCTTGAAAACATAGCGATGTATTCCAATATGGTTCCTCTTTTAATGTGATTCTATGTTGAAGCTCAGATGAGGATTCACCGAGTTATTACCTCAGTTTGATTTAGTCATTCAAGTTGGGGTAGGTGTCGGAATTTATCAGTACGTTAGTCATAGCCGTTCTAGAAAATATTTTCGCGTTGATGCCATTGTGTAAACGCCCCAATTTAAAAATAGAATGAGCACAATCTGAAGTATAGGTGTCGGCCATGTAAGGTGTGACAGACATTTCAAATATTCAAGATGGCCGCCCGAATAGTCATTCCAAGAATAACGTCAATTTCGATTTTATTAGCCTCGTTTTTCGCGTCATCGTAAGGTTATGTAAACTAAAGCGAGTGAATCATCACAGTTACCAAAGTTGTTGACGAGAAGAGCTACTACATGTCATTCTAATGTCATACTAGCACCAGTTGACAATAGGTTCACATTTACAAAAATCTTCATTTGGCATTATTGTTGACAACATGTTATCACCGCAACTGCCATGTCAAATTACATATTACATAACAAGCACGCACCCGTTAAAATTGGAAAAACATTGGTATGTACTACCAAATTGTGGTATTATTAATGAGCACATGAATCTATAAAGCGTTGTTAATAGCATTAACTTAATTATGTTGAAGTATGGCTTATCCCCCAAAATAATTGAAAAATAACTACTGACTTTGTATAAATGCGAACCTACAAGCGATTCATTGGTGGTCTAAGCAAGATCCAAACCGATTCAAGCAAACTATGCAGTCTGATAATTGAATAATAAAAATTTTGATTACGATACTTCAAAGCACACAACTCTGATGAAATGAATAGGATTTTTAAATTTTATAGAAAAGTATTTTGATACTACTTCTGTAGACATGTGGGTACCTACTAGTTTTCTCCAACATATATTACCACAGTTCTTACGTGGGTATGATAAGAGTATAAATTATAAATGACACTCAAGTAGTCCTATTGGAACATCTCTGATATTTTTTTAATCAAAATAATTCAAGATACTTATGCTTTCAGTTAATAGTGTTTTTTGTGTTTAGTACTAGGTACAGGAATGAAACTCGAGTGACTTAGCTATAGAAGTAAACATTGTCTCTATTATTACTATAACTCATATTTTACAAAAGCATGAAAATAAGAACCAAAAGAACCTGTTGTGTGCTTAAAGCTTTATGATTGCTTGTATCAGTTTGGGCCACCTGTATCACAGAACAATCACAGAGGTATATCCAACACGATCGGTCGTATCACAAAGCTTGCTAGTATGATACTGTATGACAGACATCACAGATCACTATCTCTCATATGCACAATCGCTGATCACAGAATCCTTAGAAAGTGGGACACACAATAATGTTGAGCAGTATATCAAAACGAATCACACGCACTGTAGCACTTACGTTGGAAAGGCGATCTGGACGAGGTTTTTGCCTGGAGCAGACTTATAAATGTCTGACACAATATCCTGAAATGTAACACCGTTCAGGATTGGCGGATGGTTTGAGCCAGTGGGAGACGGCGTTACAAGTCGGTCTGTCTCCCTTTTTAGGCTCAGGTGACCAGGAGAATGGCTAGAAATAAGCGCTTGGCGGCTAAAGTTTTGGGAGAGCCCCGGGAAGTGGGGGAACGTGGGGACGTTCACCCAAGCGCGGTCATTTGGAAGCCGGCTAGCACCGCATGCTTTTCGAGTCGGATCTAAGTCCCTACCGGCATTTTTAGTACAATGCAATAAGAAGAGTCTTTGAAATTCATTCTCAATCTGATTACCAAAAATTAGCTTTAAAAGTATCCACGAAGTATCACGACTCTCCCTCAATTTCTCTTGGCGTGAGCTGGAGGTGTTTGCAATTTGGTGGTGAAACTTTCTGTACAAAAACTTAACATCCATTTTTGATACATCGTAAAGAAGTATATTTTACTTTGACCACTAATTTCAGAAATTAGCTACAAAATGCCCCTAATAAGGTTATAATAGTCCAATTGAATAAGCCATAAAATGGGGTCAACCTCAGAATGAGACATAATAAGCTGTAAACTTGTATAAACCTTTATTTTGAGATTCTAAAAGTTGTCTTAAAAGTCTCATGAAATCTTGTGTGCGCGTCTTAAGATAACAAAAGTCAAAGGTCACAACAGAATTGCTGAGATATCACTTCCTTCGAGCTTGATTCTATTTGCATTTTTTTTGAGTATTGTATAGAAAGTTCTCTACAACTTTTGTTTCAAACATTTTTTCATACGATTAATCGAATTTTAGATAGAGGGCGGAGTGCGCGCAGCGCTTAGATATTTACAGCATACTGCAAGGACAAAATTCCGATAAACAATACACCGTATTAAGTCATAATTAGCATTTTTTTGTTAATTATTACATTATATATAATATTTTTTGTTATTTAATTATATCTAATATATACCGCATTAATTACATTATAGATAGAAAAAATTGAGTAAACACGTTTTTATTATACTATTACTTAAAAATACAGCTCATACATTTATTACTAATAAAATTCAAATAAAGGAACGTTTTACAAAGACTTTAATAATAAGAACCTGAGTCTTAATTTTCTTGACCATCACCGTCTTCCGGTGGCTCGAAAATTTTATGATCGTAATTTTCTTCATCAAGGATATTTGTCGCATGATCTTTAAGCATTTCGAGGTCAAAAGTGCTATAGGCATAGAATCACCCTATAGTCCTCTAATTTTTGCAAAGCTATACCCTAGACATGCACTACTACATATAACCACATCTATTGACAGAATCTTCTATAATGTCAATACATGTTATCTAATTGGCCAGACAAGCATGGGGGATTATCGACATTTAAACCGCAAGATAAATTTCAGTTAGATAATATGAGTTTGTTGGTCGCAGAATTCTTTGTTTAAGTTCAGCAAAATTTCTTTAAGCATATATTTTATAGAAACATATATTCGATTAATGAAAAGTACCAAAAATATAGTGCAGCTCTTAATAAAAAAATGCTAATTATGCATCACTATATGCATATTTCTATTATTTTTATACTTAATACGGCGTATTATTTATCGGGACTAACTGTTGACCTTGCATTGTGCTTTTAATACCTGTGCCCTGTACACTCTCCGCCCTCTATCTCAAAAACGGTTAATTGTATGAAGAAATGATTGAGATACAATGATTGCAAATAGCATCAAACCCATAGGGAGCGAGATCTTTGCCAAAAACCGAGTTTTGGGACGTTTGAAATTTGATATCTTAAGAGGCGAACACAAGATTTTCTGAGACTATACTTTTAGGATGACTAAGTAAAGCTTTCTTCGAATGTTCAGCTGTAATCTGAGGTAGAACCCTTAATATGACTGGATTATTGCGATGTTTCCTATGTCCTCTTCTCTATTTCACCTGGACAGTCAGTAAGACCTTTTTAAGTTTGTTGGTATGCTTGTGTCATCTGTGTGGTCTGGTGATCTAAGAAGCAAACATTAACGGTGGAAAAGAAGGCTGAAATATATGTTTCCTGCATAATGACCAATGATCGAAACCAGGAAATGTTTTTGACACGGTAAAACGATAGTCGAACTTTGAGCTGCTATCTTGGAAAATGTATGTTACCTCAATAACGGCACTTGTTTTGCAATGAATCTGTTATAAGATTCAGATATAATAAAAATTCAACCCTTCAAATATAAAAATTGAATAAACAAAAAAATTGCACTTCAACGGAGGTGTGTACGTGTGTTTGGTCCATGATTGATTCGAGGAGAGGTTATGTTAACCAATGGAAAATTTCCTGTTAATAATTTCAAAAAGCAATCATGAAAATATTTTCTTATGAATTATTTCCTTTATTTTTCTGCAAAAGCTGTAGGTACTTCTGGCCATAGCTCATTAATTTCAATGCAATTTTGGTTATTCATTACGTTGTCGGACTAACTATACGCCATTTAAAAACTTGTCATTGAATGACCTTATGTTTAAAGGCTTGTATGATATGATTGGGCTTACACTTGATTTATTCCTTAGTGATATACCTTACTCTCTAATCAATATTTACCATGCATATCTTGGAGACTTTTAGGATTTTGTTATAAATTTGTTAAATATAGGATGGTATAATTAGGTATTTATCAAGTCAAGTACCTAGCTTGATATTTTTAGAAACCTCTTGACTTGAAAATAAAATTACTTAATACTTTAATGCTCGACCTGACTTGATTTTTTTACTATTCTGGTTTGACTTGAGGTCAAACATTCTCAAACTACTTGATACTTGATAGCAAATTATATTTTCGTTCTAGTAAAGACCTTCAGTGATATTTATTTGTACTCGTAGAACCGATGACACGTATTTTGTATTTTAATGCAAATAATTACGATTGGTGGGAAAGACATGAAAATGTTTTTCCAAATCTAGTTTCAATGGCAAGAGATTTTTTATCTTTCTTTTATTTGTTATACGATGAACAAAATATTTTGTTCAATATGTATTGTTTTCTTTGTAACCTGCCTTTATTTTTATTTTAAGATATTTTCAAGTAGTATCAAGACTACTTCAATTTTCTAGTATCTAACTTGCAAAATAAGTACTTTACTTTATTTATATTGCTAATATTATAATATTATTAATTTATTTATTATATTTATTATTATTATTATTATTATAATATTATTATGTTTTTGGTCGTTACTTGATTTTCTACATATACAATGTATTTGGTCACTACATACCGATATTTGAGGGGGATATTTTTCAGCTATTTTTTTCGACAAATCCACTCCCTACAATGGCATAACTCACCTCCCTTGTAGTGGATCCATACCGCTGCTAACGGAATTAGGGCTGACACGGATATATGGTCTGCCGCTCATCACGTCACATTGTTTTAAGAACCAATAAAGGAGAACATTTTGAACAGCTTCTATAACATTAAACGTGTCAAAATTCTCTATAAGAAATATTGATTTGTCATTTTTTTGTATAAAAAGTTTGAAAAGAATTTGCATTTTATTACACACAGTTTGACCCATGTTAGATAGCATTTATTGCTTAACATAGAATAGTTAGGATAATAAAAAGCTGTAGAATTAGCACAAAAAAGTACAACTTCACAGTCTTTGAATGAGGTGCTGAAATGAAAATAAATTTTCTTCCATATTTTTTTCTGTTTTTGTTTGTTTTTACATATGTTTGACGGTTAGTATCAAAACAAGTTTTTCAATAATCGCTAGGACAACATGCCATCGTTGAAATGACACCAAATTTATCATTCTGTCACAATTACGTACTCAGTTATTACAATTTTCATACATTCACTAAGGTAATCGTAACGTAAAAATAAAAATGGCTGCCATTTCAAGGGGGATGAGATAGGACATTGTAGGGGGGTGGATTTGTCCATAAAAATAGCTAAAAAATAGGTACCCCTTTTAAATATCAGTATTTCATGACCAAACACATTGTATATTCCGTGTTTAAGTATCTTTATCATTCCTTATATTTCAATTAGAAACGGGTTATTTCGTACTAATAAAATTTCTAGTTCTATCTGTAGTTTTGTGACTTTTTAGTATTTTAAACACATTATACTGTTTGTTATATTCTTTATTAACCCCGCAGGTGGTTAAATGTAAGCACATATCCAACTTATAGCTGTGTATTCGATGATCAACAGCGGTTCTGTAGACTATTTATATTCAAGCTTAGAATGATTGTATTTATAAACTTCTTTACATCCTTTCAGTCAGTCTTTAAGACTACTTGTTCTGAGAATTGATGGATGCTATTTATTGAATGTTCGACTTTTTCGATCTGATGGTGGATGTGCTACCTATTGTTTGCTTTCTGTTTAAAATGAGTAACCGACGATTGAATAGGTCATTTCATAAACCGCCTATGTCATATATTTTCCAACATGTTTTTTTTTTGTTGGATACGTTCCCTTACGGGTAGATGAGTATTTTACAGTAAATTCAAGAATGTGGCTACATAGATTCCCCTTCAAATAATTGCGCATAGTACATCATACTCATTGCAAAAACAGCGTAAGCCACTAGTCAAAGACGGGTGCTTGAATGGCTTATTTCGAAAACCAGGATCCTTGATCTGTGTTCTTTTATTGATTTCTTTATTTATTTATTACAATTTGGGGTGTTCACAAGGAAATCCAACACAAACCCACTATGTTACATTAATACAGTAATGCGTACAAAATTATGAGATAATAAGATATATACGAAAACGATATAACTAGTATGATGAGATTATTGATTTAAAACCTCGGATTTTCAATTTGATACTAATGAGTGGCGTAGAAAGGAATCCATATAACAGAGGCGAAACAAAGTTTACTGAATACATAGGAGTAGTACAAGGAAGTCAGGGTCCTTGAATTTTTTAAGTTTTTACCGGTCCTTTTTATAAAGCCCAAAAACTTATTGGCTTCATTTATAGTATGCTCAATATGGCACTTAAAAGTAAGTTTCTCATCGATATAGACTAGTAAATTTTTAGCTGCCACTACCTGCCGCAATTCAGTATTATCTAACTTATATTTGTATTCCATTTTA